AGAGAGAGAGAGAGAGAGAGAGAGAGAGAGAGAGAGAGAGAGAGAGAGAGAGAAAGCGAGCAATCGAGCCTAGAAACGGTTTTTGTTTTTTCGATAAAAAGAGAAGTAGCAATACATTCGTATCGTTTAAACATCATAGATCAATGTTCAACAGTGAGTCGCATGTGCTCGTGGTGGTGATGGTGTTGTTATTATTATTTTATATTCGCGTATAAATTTCGGGAGAGTGCATGAATCATATAACTGCGAGAGAGAACAATGTATATGAACAATTCCCGACTATTCAATAGCTATCAACGAATTTGAAAAACAAAAATAATAAAAACCGAAGAAAAAAACGAATAAACAAATGAGTTCAAAGTTTTTTAAGTAAATAATCGTTGAGAAAAGTTTTTTCCAAAAAAAAAAAATTGTTTGTTATTGTGTATATGACGAAGAGAACAAAAATGGCGTTGAATAAACGAGATCGGTTTTCATTTCGATGGAGTAAAAGGTATCAAAACACGACATTTCAAAATGTTCTTTATTGTTTTTTTTTTGAGAATTTTCTATCCCTACCCCTTGAACGACAACTCATTCTCCATTTATGAAACCATTTCATTGTAAACGCGGCCAAAAAACCTCGTCACCGTGGGCTACAATCATACTCCAAATAGCTCCATTTCAAACATACAATATTAGACACAAAAAAAAACAACCAACCAAACATACACACATACTGCGTACCGTTCTACCTTGTGCAATATTTGCAAAAGATTCGACACAATCTACTAGAAATATCAACATTCTTTTGTTCGCTTCTATTTTCTTCGTTCGATTTAAGATTTGAGTCAAATTCCACGTGAAGCACCATTTTTAACACACTTCCGGGCATCCATTTACGAATAGATAACATAAGCCTAAACTAAAATGCTGCAGGGAATTGTGTGGTATCGTTCGAATGACCGTACAAAGAAAATTGTGTGCAGTTATTATGGCGTATGGGGAGGGCATCGTGTGATTCGAATCGCTTTAAATTAAATTGATAAATTGCGCGCAATTACAAGCTACGATTGAGCACGAAAATTATTGGTGTTGCCAATGCCTTTGTCCACACTTAACACACAACTTGAAAGTACTTAGGTCGTCTTCGAAACTACTAATAAAATGATAAATCGTCGTCTACATGAAATACCGCTCGTTTATATAGCTTGCACTCGGCAATCTTTCACCCGGTTTTTTTTTAATGATGTATGGGCGCTCGCTTGCGTTCGCCAATAGAGTGACATTATAGGAGTAGCACGAGCCAAAACAGCCATTCAACACATAAATTTTTATGATTTTTAATAAGCTAGAAGAAAAAAGAAAACCAAAAAAAACTACACGTTACTCTATTTTTAGCGCATCAACTCGACATGACAAAACGGAAATTTTTGGCTCTTTCTTTCTAGCCGGCGTGACATTAAACATGCTTTCATGTTCCCGTGTATTTGTTTCGGTGTATTTTTCTTGTGCGTGCGTGCACGCGCAGCGCCCGAAAAAAGAGAAAATTTTTGTAAATACAAAATAAGAAAAAAGAAACAAGTCAAGGGTGGAACAACGGTCCGAATTTACGTGAACAAAATGGTTTTTTTTCACTTATTTTTATCTCGTCTAGATTCACTTTTATTATGAAGGTTTGTCATAAAATGAACGAACCAATCGTTTCAGCAAACGAAATGCACTCTTACACAAAATGGGTTCGACTCGAGGAAAATATTTGCAAGATCTTTTTTCCTCCACTTTCGTTTTAAGCATGCAGCGATGTTGATAGTTTCCGATCGGAATGCAATCGATAATTGTCGCATATCTTTGCTATGATGTTATTTAATTTAATTTTATGGGTTTTTTTCTCTGCCATAATCAGGCGGGCCTGAGACAAACAACAAACCGATTAAAATGAGCAAATAACCGGCCAGATTGGCCATGTGATATTCATCTTTGCCGAAATGGGCAAACATAGATACTAATTTTGAAACGTTTTAAAGAGCGAAATTGTACAAATTCCACGGTGTAAATAGTGTATATTGTTGCTATCGTTAAATTAAATATTCCTTTCTACTCTCTGTTTCTGTCGCCTCTATCCTTTTTAGTTGTGTATTCGAAATGCACGCTGTTTATTCGATGCAAATACCCAATATTCTTTACATATTTTCTGTGTCTTTTGCACGATCTGCTCCACAGCCACTTATTCCATGGGAATAATATAGAATTTAAATTGATGTGAACGCCCTGGAATCCATCCAACCTCTTCTTCTTCTTCTTCTACTTGATAAAACTTGTGAATATTATGATTTTAATTGAGTTGCATCAATCCATTGTGCAGTGCCCATTGTCCATCTAAGCCACCAATCAACCAAACAATCAACCAATTCACTTACACATACACACATTCTCCAGCACACATACACACACAAACACACACACACACATACCCATTGGTCATTTCAAATTAAATTCTTCTTCTTTTTTTTCCAAATTATTTTTTTTTTCTCCCACTGATTGATATTAAATGAAAATAATAAATCCAAAAGTTGTTTATCGTAAATAATTAACCAACGAATTACCTAAACGTGTATCTGTATAATTTAGTGAGCTGCCCGATAACGACGACATCAATACGCAAGTATTATTGCTTGGGATAACTCGTTTTGAAACGACGCCGTCGCCGGCATCTACAAAAAAATTATTACCATTAATATATGGTGTTAACGCACAGAAATTAACGCATAGAGACGACAACGGCAACAACAACGACAACGACGACAACGGTCATTGCCCATCATATCATAGCTCGTCAATTGATTCGGCTGATTTGGCGATATATCAATCGATCGAACAATTGAACAAAACCACCGGATGCTTTCCACTTGAGCGGCACAAGCCGAAAAAAGCCATCAGTAGTAGTAAAGTGCCGTTGACGGCTGTGGCCAGTAATGCAAATTGTGCATCACAACCGAACCAACTAAACGACCAGAAATCGCATCGAACCCATTTCGATCGATTATTTGACCGATTCCAATCGAAGAAAATTCCGAAAAAACGATCCGGTGTGAATCAAACGAAACGTAAAAATAGTATCGAACAGAAAGCATTCTATCGTTGGTTACATTTAAACCGAAACAAGCGATTGGAACGAAACGCTAAATGCTTGGATGATGATGGTGGTGTTGGTTGTATCGATGATCGGCATTCATTGCACCGCACACCTGTGATACGAAAATGTTCAACCAAATCAAATAGCATAAGACGAAAAACGACCAAAAAATCCAATACAAAACCGACGAAAACATCACGATTCAGTAGCTGTATACCATATTGTGTGACCGTCACCACCACCACCACCGCCACCGCATCCTCGTCACGTAATGATTCAATCGCTGGCAATTCATTAGCGTCAAGCCATCGATACACAGAATATTATAGTAGAAAACAGAGTGGCGCTTCAGCGGCTGCATCAAACGTCGTCGAACGACATCGATTATTACCAACCGCTACAACAACATCCAATGACTGTTTAATGCACTCCCATTGTAAACCTAATAAGCATTTTAGCCCGAGTAACAAAAACACCGACAACAATCACAATAATAACTGTAGTTTATTTAATAATTTAAACATAATGGACAGAAGCGTTGATTCGATAGGCAGCTGTTCACTTGATGTCGATGCAGAATCAACTGATTTTTCAGGTATCCGCTCATTTAAAGTTAGACACCAAACAGAAATAAAAAAAATGACACAAGACAAAACAAAACCAAAAAAAATTTCTAGAGAAACTAAAGAAGAAGGGAAAAACAATGCATTTTCCAGTTGAAACCTTGTGTGTCATATGGCTTTATGTTTTGCGTTTGCGATTGCGATGCTTCTATTGAATGTGTGCACTATTTTTTTTTTGTTGTGTTTGTTGTTCCTTTTTGTTTTCCGCGTCCAATATGTGTTTCGTTGTGATTTCGTGTCCGTTATCTTATTTTTATGTGATTTTAGACCAATTTTCAATTTTGATCAAAATGATTGTTTTGATTTTTGACCGAAAAAAATATATATAGAAAGATCTCTTAACTCAATCAATATTGAAGCTCGAAGTCAATGTGCTTGATCGAGTTCAATTCACCGAAAAAAATAAAGTTTTGAAAACGATGTCATGGAAACGATGACCATACTCATTTTCACTCACTGTCGAAGTGAGCATCAAATTTCGTACTAGTTTCATTTAGTTTATTGTTGTTTCAAATTTCAAACGCTTTTTTTTTCTTTTCTAAACATTAGAGGATTTGGTGATGACTTTAGTCTAAATTGCGCTCTATCAAATCAGTATTACATTGCTTTTGCTTCTCTTAGTATTGTACACTTCGGATAGATACGTGCATAAATTGTTGTTTATTTGTCATTTGTTTCTTGCTTATGTATTTTTTAGACGAAAACATAAAACACCGAAATATCGCTCGGCCCAAACAAATAAACTAATATTTTCTTCTTTTTTCCAAATCGTTGTTCGACAGATACGAGTGGTAGTTTGAACGTATGCACACCATCGTCTGGAAAAGATTTTACGCGTGAATTTACGTCACGAATCCATGAACGCTGTCAATTTCCCAATCATCCACTGAGTGGCCAAAAGTTGCAGCAAACAAAAACGGTGCTCGATCCGAATTCGGGTAAAATATCAACGATTCTATCGCCACAAAACGTTCCACCGACTGTTAATTCGCCAACAACGCCCGTCAAAAAGCCGAGCTATTTGAATTTAGCGTGTTGCGTTAACGGTTATTCAAATCTCACTACATACGATTCGAAATTTCGTCAAAGCATTAATAAATCGAGAGAAGTATCACCCATTCGACCCATTACATACGCCGTACAATATAATCGTAACGGTGGCAGTGACAACAATTACCTCAGTGTGCCGGTCCCAGTTCCAATTAATGATAACAACACCATCACGAACACCACCAACACCAACAAAATCAATTTCATGATGGATGCCCATTCAATTTTAGCGCCGGAAAAGCGGTATTTTTCCACCACAACACAACAGAAAACCATTGAAATCAATGGAACCAGTCATGATGTTACGGACAATGTGAACAGCAATGGGTGTGCCAAATTCTATACACGTTCCATGCTACAACACACAACAACACCAACGACCACCAACGGCACGGGAAATACATCGTTGGCTCTGGTCCGTGATGTAAATCAAGAGTTTGATGCAAATGGAAAAGGAACGGCCAAAAGTTTCATTCAACAACGTGTTGAACGTTTGTATGGGCCGGGCGCTGTGACCCAGGGTTTGTATAGTCCAAAAAAGCCAAAATCCGATGACAATCAAGAAACAACAACCACACGAACGACACAAATTTCAACGGTACTAGTGGAAAAATCACAAAATACCACATTTCAATCGACCAAATATGTGTTGGAAGCGCAACGAAATGGTCATCTCAACGGTTTGTCAAATAATCGGGCGGTGCACGATGATGAAAACATCAATTTGGATTCAATTAACGAAGCATTACCGGTTCTACGTCATTTGCGACCTGAATTTCGCGCTCAATTACCAACACTATCACCAAAACGTACCATAGCTATTTCGAAGTTAACCCCTACAGCTGCTGCTGCAGCAGCAGCAGCAGCAGCAGCATCATCATCGTCGTCAGTCGTAGCGACACAGACAACATCGCCACAAACACAGCAGTCACAGTACACAAATGGTGGTACAGCGGTCAACGGTAAACTAAATATTAGCACAAACATTCTGAACAATGTGAACAAACAAGTGTTGAACGGTGGTGTTGTATCATCGACGCCGTCACCAAACATCATCGACAACGACAACGAAAATGTTGTCGACAACAACGACGATGTTGACGACGACGACGACTCAAATCGGAGCACACTTGACATGCAATCACACAAACAATCATTGTTAGCATCCAATGCACCGACAAATACTACAACTAAAAATGGCTGTCTAACCTCAAACAAAAGTCATGACATTGAAATCGTCGACAGCAGCCAGAACGAGTCAACAACGAAAGGTAGCAACATCGTTGCAACAACACATTTAAACACGCAAAATACATCGAATTTATTGCCTGCAAACGTTGATAAACCAAACGATATAAATAAAATGGCTAGCGAAATAAGCGATTTTCTAATTGAATCACCATCATCACCACAAAATCCGGTGAAAATTCAATCAATCGATCAAAGTAGCATCGGCGACGCGAGCAACGATGGCAATGATACAATGAAATTAGCAGTGAACAACACAACAGTTACATCGGTCGAAGCAATGGATGCAAATGGAAATCATAAGACTGATCAAAAGAAAGATGGACTTTACTTTTTACACGTTGTGCAAAGTGAACGAGATCGTCTAATCAATATGGCCATTGCTGCCGAAAAAGAGCTCGACGAATTGCTACAGGTGAGTGTGTGTTCATGTGTTCGAATTGTACAGAAAAACAGATTTGTTCTTCTGCGAATCATCGATGTAAAATTGAGCATGACAATTTCTATATTGCTTTTGTGTGCATTTGTTTTGCAGAAAGGTGGCGTTGATGAGGAGATTCTTGGCCATTTACGATCAGCTGCCGGCAAAGCAAGACTTTTAGCAACAAAGAAATTCAAACAATTTGAAGGTAATTTTTTTTTGTCTCTTTTCAATTGAATCAGAGTGTTCGGAACTTGAATTTCTAATGTGTGATTGTTCATTCAAAAAATTGCATAGGATTGTGTAATGACAACATAAACCAAATAACACGTGATATGCCGCCACCAACAACGGCCGACCTGCAAGGTTTCTGGGAAATGGTCTGCTTGCAAGTGGAAAATGTTGACTCTCTATACGTTGAACTTGATAAAATGCGCGCCAATGGTTGGGAGGTAAGTCATAGCAAACATCTAGGTGTTATTTTTTTTTCGGTGTTTTTCGAATAAATTCATGTGGAAGTGAATGAAATTTATTCAATATAATTTGATTGCAACATTCATTAGAAACTGACGCAAGTTAAGCCAAAGCAACCGCAAGGATCGAAGCTAACGAAACGACCAGTGGCCGGGGCAAAATCGAGCACATCATCAGCAGCAACAACAACCGCATCAGGATCGATAAAAAAGTCCGTTGCGGATGCAAAACGTGAAGCCGCTGCGCAGAAACGTGAAGCTCAGCGAAAGCAATTAGCCGAAATGAGACGTAAAAATAAACTGGCGATGACAACGGCCGTCAATGTACCCAACAGCAGCGAAAATATCATCGTAGATCAAGTAATCGAAGATACACCATCACGTCAGTCAAATAATGAGGAAAATAATACGGAAAACGAAACCGACAGATGATTTCATTCGATCAAAAACCAACATTTTAATTGCTTAGAGCCGGACGCCTAGAAGCGTCCAATTTTCTCCTTTTTTTTATACTTTTTAATTTTCTGTCGTCTATTTTGTAGAATTGAATGTATTTTGCTTGAATCTCCCGTTCGCTGGCTCAAACAAATGATAATGCTGGTTTTTGTCCGTTAAAAAGCCCAGAAAAAAACGCATGCAAATAGTTTTACATACTCTAATCAATGCTAATCAAAAATATACAACAACTAGAAGGAAGACATTGGAAATTAGGTAATATCATACAATAATAACAACAAGAAAAAAACAGCAAAACAAAAACGAAAAGAGAAGGAAACAAAAACGATTTGTGATCACCACCACATAGGTATCCTCAGAATATTTAAGTGAAACAAGAATTAAGCATAACAAAACTGATTTTCTAGAGAAATTTGCTTGATTTAATTAGTAGAAAAGTGCGAATTGTCAATAACAACAAAAAAACATAATCTATTTTTAAGTCATCGAAACATACACTGAAGGAAAGGAAAAACAAATCTATTTATTTTATTTGCATTGTGAATTGTAACGCGTTGTGAACATAGATTGATATTAACCACATTTAGGTGAAACACAAATCAAACTCAACCAAGTCAGGCAAATTCAAATAATTTAGAAGAAGAAAGAAAGAAAGAAAAAATCAACGAGCGATATTTACACGAAGGCAGTAGCATCAAAACGAACGAGAAAAATAAAACCACAAACACTTTACAAAGCTTGATCAAAATTAATGAAAATAACCGTTAGATACGAAATAGAAAGAGAAAAACAAACCTGAAACAAACAAAAAACAAACAAATGAAAAATCTAGTTTAGAATGCAATACTGTTAACAACGTCTTATTCAATTTTTTTTTTCTTTCGCTGAATTCATATCGTACATAAGTGCTAAAATAATGTTGCTATGATGAAGTAGATTTGAAAAAAGAGAAAATTGATATGCATTATATTCGTTAAAATGTGGTCACTGTTAATGCTGTTTATTGAATGTTTCCAGCTTATCCCTCCCTCTCTATAACTCTTTTTACATATATATTTATAGATTTAAGACATAAACTATTTCCATCGCTGGTCGTTCTCATGATTCATTCTTGTGACTGTTTTGCATCCTCCCTCGAAAATTCGATGACAGCGATTTGATTGATTAAAGAGAGGGAGGGAGAGAGATGAAAATGAAGTAAAAGAAAAAATTTAAGAAAAATTTAACACAGTTTACACAAATAGACATAAACAAAAGACATTTTAGCCGCTAAGTATTTAATTATGAAGTTTGTTAACAAGAAGAAAAAAAAATTAATAAAATATTAGAAAATGGCTCCCAATTTTGTTCCAAGTTTCTGTTCTTCGGCTTCGTACATTCTCACTATCCGGTAGTAATTAGTGCACTAGTTTTGTCATTCATTGCCTTGTGTAAAATGGTTGAAAATACCGTCGACAAGAATGATGATTGTATTACATTATGAGACCAAAACCTGAGCAGAAAAACATTGCAAAGAATTTTTTGATAATTTTGGTGTAGAATATTCCATGAACGGTGCAAAAAATAACCCAACATTGCATGATGTGCATTTTTGAGCCATTTACCTACATTTTTATGTTCACATTTGTTATTTTCTGAAGGATAAAGAGGTTTCAATGGGGATTTTCTTTTTTCTTGATTCCCTTAAGGTAAGCTCCATTTTTGCGAAGGTAAGTTGACTGTAAATTGCAAAAAAAAAAAATTGAAAAAAAAGTAGAGAAAAATGAAGAAAAAAGACGATCTTATCATATTTATTTACATGCTTTATTTTATAAAATACTATTCTAATCTGACAATCGTTCAAAATTAAGATCACTTCGTCGTGCATATTTTTCGGATCTTTTTTCCACTCGCGCCAGTTCTTGGGCGTACGTTTCTTTTAATTTTAAATATAAATCATTCAATTTGCCTAGATCGTTCGGCACAATTTCCATGTTATCGAAAGCGATTCCGATATTTTTATTGGCTATGAGTTCGTCATTGATTGGCGGTAAAACTCGATACCGCTGACTAAAATGTGTCAACACGGTGTATTTGGCTTGCATTTTATGGCCTTGTTCAATGGCCTGTGATATTGTACTATGTTTTTTTGTTGCCGCACTGGCCGCTAATGTATCCTCTAAGGTCGCTTCGTGAATCAGCAGATTGGAATCTCTACCGAGTTCAATCAACGAGTCACATGGTATCGTATCACCGCTGAATGTCAATTTAAACTCTTCCTTATTGTCGGGTAGAATATTTGATTTTATACTAATTGCATAGGAGAATTCCAAGTGTGGAACTCGACATGTTTTCAAGTCGTTGATATTTAACAAAGCCTTTTGTTCATCGGTCAATCCCGAGTTTATCTGTTGAACAAATGAAACGATTCGTTTTATTTTCAATGAAAAAAAAGAAGATAACGACGAAAGGTGTAACAGTTTCCTATAGCTAAAAAAGTGACTCACTAAATCTTCATTGTTGATCATTATAAATTCGTCTCGAACATTACCGAAATTCTCTTCATAGAAGTTGAGTAATGCGGAAAACTGTTGTTCCGGTGCCATTAACAAGAGTGGTGGACGATTTTGAGGCATATACTTTTGCCGCGTTCGAATCAAATCCATAACACCCATATGATGATCACCATGCATATGAGTTATGTGTAGTGCTTTGATATTTCGAATAACATCCTCCGTTCGACTACCATAAAATCGGCAAATTTGTCCAACGGTTCCTTCGCCACAATCCAGCAAAATCGATGAATCGGGCCTGTTCGAATAGAAAAAAAATAACCGATTTTTAATTCGAGAGTTGTAACACGTTCCGTCTATGATAATAATCCATTGGGTTATTTTCTTACGCGGTATGCACCAAAATAGCAGTAACGGTTTTTGTAACGCCTGGAAATGATGATCCCGTGCCCAAGAATACGATTTTTGGGAAAATATTGGCTCGAACTGTAGATATGTGTGCTTCGGCTTCATCATCCGAAGCAACATCTTCATCGCTACTATCCGAATCTTCTTCATCATCGTTTGCTGCTTTTTCCAGTTCTTTATTACTGATTCTACCATTCATTGGAAATAGATACCGTGTACCTGGCACAGTTGGTTCGATACATAGCGGTTCACTCAGGTTGACATCCAGATTTTCATTATCTAAACTCGTATACGTCCGACGCGTTGTGGTGAATTTCGAACTGAAACCGAATGTTTACCATTAATTCAAAGCACAAATAGAGATAAATTGGCTGGTAATTCTCACTAAAGATTTGGATAAATGTCAGCATCCATATGATTCAACTTTTGCTGCATCAAGTGTACGTGTTTTAAACCGCAATACCTGAAAATAGAATTAATTTATAATAAAATAAGAAACCGATGTGTTTCGATAATTGCCCAGTAAAAAGACATGTACATATTAGTATCATTTATGGCTAAATGTTTTTTGGCTTTCGAGCGACGCATAAACTCTTGATATTCGGGTGTATCAACGATGTCAGATGATGTGAAATGGGCAATGAATTCCAGTCCAATTTGTGAATTTATTTCATCTATATGTCCGTTCAATAATTTATTTCGCTCCAAATCCGGCAAATATTCCCTCGACGGAACATCGATTACTAAACACGAATGGAAAAATGGGTGATTTATTTTCAAATCCAAAAATCGAATCAAATCACCAAAAGTCCAAATAAAATGATGATACCTTCGAAATTGACTTACTTAAGAAATTTCCGCCAGGAAAACCGGGTGACAAAAAGTCTTTACCGTAATATGTTGTGCCATCGGCTAGTGTAACATTTTTACCCTCGCTAATTGCTTTGATGTGTTCCATTGGGATTTGTTTTTCGGTGAATCTGGACAAAAAGAATGATCCTTTGCGTGGCTGTAATCGGCACACGAATGCCATCACGGTCATATCATCTGAACTGGATGCATGTTCTCGATGTAATTCGACAAAATCCACTTGAATATGACTGTCTTCATGGAAATCTTTTCGATTGAATGTCCGCTCTGTTATTGCCTTTTCAGGATCTAAATCGGTGAGTTCGGCAAATTTGTTTAAATACTTTTCAATCTGCGGTGGTCCATGAAATGTGGGAAACAATGTATTCCGATCAAATACGGCCCGAGCCAGTGATGGTACACCTCCGATTCGTTCCCATCGATTGGTCGTACAATAAACATTTGCCAGGTATCTGAATCGATGTGCTCTGGAATACATCAAACGAAACGTACCTTCGCCACAGTTGAACAAATGCCTGAAATGATAACCCATATTCAATGAAGAACAAACACTCATTTCCTCTTATGATCGTATAGATGCTACAGATGATACATACACAAAATTATCACAAGTCCTAACAATTAAAGCGGATGGTTCACCAAACGAACCCGAACCGACTACCGCAACTTTTATCAAACTCGATCGCTCCGGTTTCGTTCGATGGACAAGTGATCGGTTCAGTGCATGTTCGACGGAACCTATTTTACAGACATTTCGTTTAGTATTGCTAAACGTCCTTAGCAAACACTGCATATTTTTAAAAAACCGTATTTATTTCACACCATTCAAACGATTCGAAATTTCGGTTTTATTTCGTTTTGCGTCAAAAGCAGCACATATTTAGTTTTCTACATGTGTTGTTTGACACTACGACAAAACCTCAAATCGGTAAATGTCAAACGGCAGCCGACGTGTGTCTAACTTCACTGCAATGGAGAAAATTCGATTGTCATGAAAATAAACAAAAGTTCAAAAACGATGATGAAATGCAAACACAATGCAATTTTTTAATGGAACAATAACATGTTTTGTAATTGTTTTACTTATGAATTGTTTGTTTGTTTTTTGTTTTTGGTACAGTATCACATAAAATGAGTACATGATACGAATGATTGTACATGAGTAATAATATTAATTTGGTTTTCGATTAACCTAACGAAATACTAAAGAAAAGAATCTCTTATGAAATTAAGAAGAAGAAAAAAATGTGAAGACATAACAGCTGCCTTTGAAAATACAAAAATGGTCTTGTATGAGAAAAAAAAAATTATGTTTGAGTGTTGAGCCACTGTTCTTCGGCATCATAAATGATGTCGGAAATCATACGCTTCACCTTCACTTTGAGGCGTGCGTTGAATTTGCGTGCAGTATGCTCCATACTCTGGAAAAACGATGTTAAATCGTCAACTTCGCCGCCATTCGACTGTGGCGTCCATTGTGCCATCAGTTTTTCGGTCGCTGAACCATTGACAACATTTGGTTTGGATTCACCGTTGTTGCTGTTTTCACTAATCACGGCGGGTTTTGCAAATTGCAACAATTTCGGACTGTGTACAGCGTTGTAATGACCATTGGAAACACCATTGCTTGCAGCCGATAAATTCGCTGTTGATTCTGGTTGCACACTTGTAGTGGATGTGTTCACCAAAATTGCGCTATCCGAATCTCTGTGTTTGAGTGAGAAAAAAAAACAGTTGAATTAGATTCAAATTGAAATGCACTTTTCCAATGAATATTCCACTTTCCACAGTAATAACGGCAGTAATTTGAAATGATTTTATTTAATTATTTCAAATTAATTTTTAACCCAATCGAATTTTCAATTCAATTAAAAAAAAAAAAAAAAATTTGTTTACTCACTCATTGTAGTCGGGACGAATGCGTTTGGTTGAACGACGCTGCGTAATGCGGGCGGGTTTTTCATGTTGAATGCGGTTCCATGGAGCCAACTAAATATCATGAGAAAAAAATTGTTAATTAAAATGAAAGCGTGCATTAGTTTCGACACATGTACCTCATCCAAGAATTCCAAACGTCGTCTCATCTCTGGACCGACCGAATCATTCCGCAAGTTCTTGAAATAGTTGTTTTTCAAATTGGTAAACTTAATCTTGCACACCTCGGCTACAAAATGAATTATTTATATATTAAAAACCGATTTCAATGTGAAATGCATATTTAATTTCGAATTGAGCTCTTTGAAAACAAAAGGATAAAATGGATTTTATTACGTTGTATATTGATTTTCTCGCCAATTTCGTCCCACAATTTTTGACGTTCATCTCGAAGCTCGGCACTCCGATCGCCACAATCCGTAAATAAAATAGGACGATCTTTTACCAACTCGATGAGCAAATTTCGAGTTTGCTCATCCAAACGAACATCGGCTCCGTTATTCATGGCCTCAGTGTGTTTTCGTTGAAAAGGGAAAAATTGGAAAATGCGTCGGCGTTTTTAACCGAACGAAAAGCGTCGTATACAATATGAAAATGAAACCCAAATTTACTATATAAACAATGTGATTCGTTGAAACGGACTGTGACAGTTGCATTGACCGTACGATTTGATTTCAAAAGAATCCATCAGATAACACTGCATTCCACCAATCACCACTGCTGCAAACTTATCAACCACACATCAGAGTGTATCACCAATGAGTCGAATGCAGAATGAAACGACACGCACACTCATACCTATGCTCAGCTACTAGTACCCATATTATACGTGTAGTAGTATGTGTAATTTTTCATTCTCTCTTTCTCCCGTCTCATTTGACACAAACTGTCAAAATCATATGAATGAAGAGAATGAGAAAATCCAATATGGCAAATATTTGTGTGTTAATCCAAGTATCAAAATAGAATTTGAAAATATTGTTTGCAATCTTATGAGTTGCGAGAAACAGTGACATTTTATATTGCAACTTAAACGAAATCCATTTTTTTTAAACTAGTTTAAGTGGAAAAGCAGCGTACTATGATAAAAAAAAAATAATTAAGATATTTTCGTCCCTTGTATTCTTATCATGAATGTGTAATTGTTTACTAAAAGAAAAAAAAATTGTCGTCCGTATTTCTTTCCCCAACATTCAGTGTTTGTCGATTGAATGAATACAAATGGAAATAATTGAATATTGTGATCACGAGACTCTATAAAACGCTCCAATTAAAACCACCAATACCGTGTACGTGTGTGTGTGTCTGTGGAATATCCCAATTGAAAGCGTATTACTTATTATTGATTTTATTTGTGGCAAAAATTCATATCGTCCGAAATGGCGAGCACAAATTTAGTTGTGCCAGTTGTACTGTGGGGCCCTTATGAACCGACCCATTGTGTATCGAGCGTATTTTTGTCGCGAGATCTCAAAACTCTGGCCACGGGATGCTATGACGGCCAAATATGTCTATGGTAAGTGCATTTCAATTGTTCCGACACTTTGTGCTCTGTTCCCAAAACAAATGGGGGCTTAATACAATTACAGTATTACAAGGTCAAGGTTTCCGGTGCGTAATTCAAGCGTGCGGTTTTATCAAACCGAATTCTCGAAATTGAATGCATTAAATGTGTAAATAAATATTTCATTTCAAATAGGAAAGTGAATCCCGATACATTGAAAATGACACCGAGATGTTTGCTAGTAGGACACACGGCTCCGGTGTTGTGTTTGTCACGCGCATCTATCGTGCTGGACAATAATTTTCTGGTGAGCTCGTCGGAGAATGGCGAGATGTGCACTTGGGATTTGGTCGACGGGAAATGCAAGGAAAATGTGAAGCTGCCACAAGTTCACACCAGTATTCAGGTGAACTTCAAGGTCGATTCAATCAAAATGTTTGTGTGTTATTCAAATTATTCAATTCTTTAGGCTTACCATATGTCCAATTGTGACGACATTCGGCTCTTCTGCAACGGTTACTATGCCGAAATCCTTGTTATGGATCCATTCAGTCTGGAAATCATCTTCTCATTGAGCTCAAAAGTTAAACCCGATTGGATATCTGCATTACATGTAAGCGCTTCAACGCTTAAACAACTTTTTTTTTCAAAATCTAACGAACAAAAAATTGCTTCGGTTTTAGGTGTTGCGTCCATCGAAGCGCAAGGATGATGTCGTCCTTGCTATCACAACGACCGGTACGGTGAAAGTGTGGACATTGCTTGGCAATGAAAACAAATATTCCGATCCCATTTACGAGAATGAATCGAAACAAATCCGATGCTTGAATGCCATCAGCTTGAATTGTTGCACACAAAATCAACGGACCGTTTTGATTGTTTGCACCAAATACTGGCAAATCTATGATGCTGGCGATTTTACCGTGCTATGCAGTGTGATTTCACCGTCGGGCGAACGTTGGCTGGGCGGTGATTTTCTGGCACATGATCGTGTCATCCTTTGGTCGGACGAGGGCAAAGGGTATTTGTATAGATTGCCCGCAAAGTAAGTGATACGTGATGAAAATAATTACAATTTTCCTTGAAATCAACTCCGCTTTATTTTCATTTCTCTTCCGATTATCTCAATCATTTTATTCATATTTCGCTGGCTTTTAACCAATAGCAATTTTATTCGATTCACTTCTTTTCGTCATTTTCTATCAATTTTGTTTTGTTTCAACTGGCTTTGACCAATTAGGCTGTACTTAAATAATTTCTAAATTTAAGCTTTGGTCATCGCTAGCATTTCTAGAACATTTTTTTGTTTCTGGCTTTAGATGCAGTTTTTCTTTTCTTTCTTCACTCGATATGCATCAAATTTTTCGTCTTTTCTCATTTTCAACTCTTTTTTTCCCTCTGATAACGACATAATATATTTAATATAGCTAAGCAATCGCTATATGATATGTAAATCAATTGAAAACGGCGTGGATTTGTTTGAAAAAATATTTTAAGAAAGACCAACAACAAGAACAAAACAAACAGCAAAAAAAAAACTTTTTTGAACATTTTCATTTTTAAATTTTTTTTTATAGCGTTCTGCCTGGAAAAAACCCAAACGTTAGGTTAGCATACATTGATTCGTTTGTGTTTTGATGTTGTTACCTTGTTGGACTATTTTCCGTTTCACTTTAGATTCGAAGACGATTCTCTTTTTTTTCTATTTACCTCAAATACCAAACACGCTCACTATTCACGATTTTAAATAGGCAAATATTTTCACAATTTATGCGTAGACATAGTGCTTTTGTGCTGATTCAGTTTTCTTTTGAAATTTTCAATTTTCATTTTTTTTTCTTCCAAATGAAATTGTGTGTAAATATCGAAATTCAAGCTTTATTTCAATAGTTTCGTTATCTTTTTGCTGCTTGCTTGGAATGCTTTCCGTTGCACCGTAGCTTCTTTTCGTTCATTGCAATTCCATTCATTTCACTTTTGAGCACCTGAGACAGAACTATTTCAATGTTTGTGCGCCACATGCATCGACCATAGACTTATTGAACTTTCTCTCTTTTAGCTGCATACCTGACAATAAAGAGTTTCATTCGCCATCACAAGCCAAAGATCAACCGGTTTTGTACTGTGTTTTACAACATTCCGTCGATCGGGTATGTGATATTCCAATAAGACTCAAAATTACTCATATTAGACTCGACAAGAAGAACATACAACGATGCAAGTTGAGTCTGGAGAAATACAGCCTTGAAGAAATAGATTTTCTTTAACTGCACAAGAATATTGCGTAATATTTCGATTTTTCACAGCCATTGTCCTGTCCACCTGCTATGAAAATCATAACCACAAGCCGAAATGGAAAATCACAACGATTCATGTTGAGAGGTGATTCAGAAGGATATGTTACACTGTGGAATGTTCCCGATATCACCATCGAGGAAGTCAAACAAATTCAGGATCGAAACACCATAAAAAGTAGGGAATTTTTTCACTTTAGCAATAAAATTATCTAAAGTGAAAGCATACAGAAACCAGTCAATTATAAAACCTCTCACTTTGGCTCAAATCATCTCTGAATGTGCAGTGGGAAAAATTGATATTTTTCTATACATTTATACGGATTTTTTTGCGTTCTTTCGGTTTTTCTCCCAAAACTCGTACCCCATATGCGATGAAGCGAAACTTTGTTAAGAAAAGTTTTAGATCTCGTTGAAACCTACAATTTTGCCGCAGACAGTTATCATTTATCTGTTATCAGTAAGGAGATAATGGCCTTTATAGCTCTTATCAATTATCACTGGTATCTCCTTACTGATAAAAGATATATGATGACTGTTTGTGGCAAAATTGTTGGTTTTGTACGAGATCTGAAGCTTTGCTGAACAAAGTTCTGCTCCATCGCATATGAAGTACGAGTTATGAAAAAAAAACGAAAAAACGCAAAAAAAACCGTATAAATGTATAGAATTATATCAATTTTTCCCACTGCACATTAAGAGATGATTTGAGCCACAGTAAGAGGTTTTATTGAAAACTGATGTTCGGGAGGTATAGCTAATTTTCGACGAGAAATCCAAAAATGCAATTGATTTGGGGTTGAGGAGTGAGGTTCACCTTCTGCCCTTCAAACTGAGTCAACATGGGAGGCCAGCACTATGTGCCAATGAAGTCTATGAGACCAGGCGAAACTTTTGTGGGATATAACCTATTCGCCCGATTGAGTTTTAAGGGGAGAAAAATGCATCGAAAGTGTTGGGGATGAAATTTGGAGTATACACCCAACACTAGTTCGCCATGGTATCCCACGAAAGTTGCGCCTGGTTCCTTTCAAATCTGGTCTTTCAAATAAAATTTATGTTCGTTTATAAATTCTTCTATATCGCTAATGCTTTTGAAATCAATGGATAACAGAGCAGTTTTGCATTCAAATCCAACGCTTATTATGATTTTTTCTAAATTCGCGAATGGCCACGAATGCTTGTGCGAATATGTTGATACATTCATTATGGAGCGTTGCGCGAATGATCACGCGGCACTCCGAATAAATAGCGAAACAGGCACGAATGCCTCTGGCAATAGCATTCGCGAATAGTGAATTGCCCGTAGCCGGGGTTTACTTGTACTTTCACAAATAAACAAAATTATTTGTTCCCGACCGGTTAATATTTCTAATCTATGGGAGTGATGACAGTGACCCAATTTCTAATGATTTGTATCAATTTCAAGCTTTGACACCAACGATTTGTACGAGCCTAAGCGATGCGTGGAGCTTGATGAAACCACCGCCAGTTGGAATACTTGATCAATTGAATTCGCCGAGTGAGCCGTCAATCAAGTTGACTGCGAGCATTTATTTGCCGCAACAAAGCCGTTTGGTTGTTGGTCGCCAGGATGGTTCGATCATCATTGTTCCAGCAACGCAAACCGTTATGTTGCAATTGCTGCATGTGAATCAAATCAACTATGCCGGTATTGGAATTGATTCAATCATTTTGATCCAAAAACCAATTCAAATTCAAATCAATAAAATTTGTTTCATATTTTTCGGTAGATTGGCCATCGCATCAAATCTTATCAGCACATCGAGGTCGGGTTAACTGTCTATTGTGCCCATCTCTGGCTCATCCACGGTACTTTTACTATTACTTGTCACATCCACAATATACTTGCTATTGCAACATTTGCAATCGTTATTAACTGCTTCGAAATCATTTTTCCACGGTTTAGATATGATAAATCGCATTTGTTGTCTGGCGGTGTGGATTTCGCTGTATGCCTCTGGGATTTGTACAGTGGCACATTGTTGCACCGTTTTTGTGTTCATGCTGGTGAAATCACCCAATTGCTTGTTCCACCAAATTCATGTAGTGTAAGTAGTTAAAATACGGTTTTTCTATTTTATTGTAAGAAAAATCTCATTTTTTCCTTCTAAAAAGATTCGATGTGAACTTTTGTATTGAAGTAAATAACTGATGAAATATATATTTTGCCCAAATTTACAGCCTCGCGTTCAAAAGAGTATCTGTTCAGTTGCTTCCGATCATTCGGTCACTTTGTTGAGTTTGACCGAACGCAAATGTATATGCTTGGCTAGCCGGTAAGTGATGAAGAAAAAAAAACTCAATTTAAACAAAAATGTTCCCATCCTTATCCAATTGGTTCTTACCGTAGGCATCTGTTCCCAGTGGTCAGCATAAAATGGCGTCCGTTGGATGACTTCCTAATCGTTGGCTGTTCGGATGGAACGGTGTATGTGTGGCAAATGGAAACGGGACACCTAGATCGTGTGTTGCACGGTATGCTTGCCGAAGAGGTGTTGTCAGCATGTGATGAAAATGCCACCGACGCATCACCGCACGGTTCAACATCAGAAATGGGCCTGGCCAATCCAGCCGTTCACTTCTTCCGCGGGCTTCGACATCGCAATTTGAATGCCATTCGACATGCAACACAAAGAGGCATCAATCAATTGCAACAGCTCCACGCTCATAATAATTCCGAGAATATTTTCCTCATGAAGAATCGCAGCAGCCCACTCACAATTCAGGGCTTGCGCACAAATCCAAAAGGTAGCATCATTTTAAAATGATTCATTGAATTTGATGATAATCATCGGATGGCAGCAAGGCCGAAAACAACTTAAATGACAACTGCGAGTGCCCTCAATTTCAATAGGCAAATCAATGTAATTTCGGAATTTTTTTTCCGAACTAAACAAGCGCGACAATTTGAATTTTCTTGATGCTGCCACCCCATGATGATAATCATGAAAAATTTTCACAAAAATATTCCATTTTTAGATGCGGAAAGCCATATCTTATTCTTCGATATCGAGGGTTTGATTTTCGAATTGCACAGCGAGGAGTATGCTGCGATGAGTCCAACCACTTTGGAGGTGAGTAATTTTAAAATAGAAAACGTTGACAAATTCCATAGTTTACAAAGTTCATTCCCCGATAAAATAGGCACAGGGATTGATCACATCCACCGCTGGACCGTCCCAGCACAATGATGCAAGCAAAAAGATATCCGGTAAGTTCAATATTCTGACGTGTATTTCATTTTGATTAATTTACAAGAGGATTTGTAGCTCACACTTCGCAGTACTAAGAATTTTTTTTTATTGACTTGTGAAACTTGAGCTACATGTCAATGTTCAATGAGTCAGTCGTATGTAATCGCATCAAAAATCATTGACCAAAACAAAATGTGTTGTGGCTGATCTGTTGTTAATTATTAACAAAAGAACACTGTGTTAACTGATGCAAAGCAAAACATACAACGCCCATTTTTTGTTGTTATCCTCTTTCCACCGAAAATTCAAACTAACATTATTATAACAACTGACCAGAAAAAAAATCCCTCTTCCAATAAACAAACCCAATTTAAATTGATTGAATTGTCTGATTTTTCTCTCTCAAATATTTTCGAATCGGAAGATTTCTTTGGACGAGTTAAAAACAAAGCCGGTGACATGGAAAAAATTCTCAAAGAGAAAGACAAACATGGTTTGTTGATAAACGAAACGAAACAATTTCGATTTTCTTTTCTCAATTTAAACAACAAACACCAATCATTTTATTTCTAATTGGCAAATTCACGCACTTCATAATGTTTCGGTTTTGTTTTGTAATTGCATCTCCTTTTTTTAACTGCCCCGTTTTTTGTTGTTGTTGTTGATATTGGTCTCAAATTTTTTGTTTGATTCAGAAAACAGTTTCAGTTGCCCATGAGATTGCATTTTGGTTTTCACTTGAGTTCTTTTCTTTTGATCAAGTAGTTTTCATTGCTTTCGTTTGGAGTCATTATTATTATTGATTAAAATCATTGCCCTTTCATTTTGTTGATGCCTCTTTGTTTGTTTTGCTGACTTTGGCTCCTTGGTAGCCATTTTTGTTTTGTTTTGATTTGATGGTAGAATGAATTAACCCGTTGTTTTGTTTGGATTGCACTTTTGACCAACCATCTAAAACCGTGTGAACTGTTTGATTGAACACAGATTAATTTATTTTTTGCACAATTTTTTTTCTATTTAACCATCAAGTTGGCCATTTGCACACGATTTCTTTTGAGCACAAGCCCACAAGATTGTTCTTCTGTTCTTAGCATGCGCGAAAAAAAGAACTCATTTTGAATGAGAATTAGCTACTTCATCTTTGCTCGCCGAGTTTGATTCATATGTTTGCAACCAAAGTAGTGATTTAAATTTGTGTGACACTTTTTGATTTATTTCGGTAGTTCGGAACCACATTGCGTTTTTGTTTTCTTTAAATTCGCACCGCTCCAATTCTAATATCAAATTTTGAAAATTCATATGAATTTGCAGGTATTTTGCAAAAAATGAAGGAAGGCGCCGAAAAAGTTGAACTCAAAATTCAAGCCAAAGTTGAAAGTTTGAAGCACGCCAATGAAGGTGACAAAGGTACGAAAACGATCGTCTTTTGTTTTCGCAATTAAAAAGACATGTTTGCTTTCGTTTTTTCAATTATTCGTTTATTTTCATTTCGAAATTGCCTTACAAAACACATTTTTTTGTCGTCAAAAAACAGAGAAGAAATTTGTCATTAACAAGTGGGAATTTCGATCCAAAAAAATAGAATTATGATCAATTGTTGTTAATTGTATGGTGATGATGAATCGGTCATATCGCTCCGTTAGGTTCTCTCTTTTCTTTATTTATTTTCGAAATGCGTAGCTGTATGATGGATATGATGGGTATGATGGATATGATGGGTATGAGTAAGCGTATGAACGGTAGAGTGGTGAATAGTATTGCGATGAGTATGAGTAAGTGGAGGCTGGTGCATAGGAGTATGATGAGTATGCATATGGGTTGCTGTAGTAGGATGTTCGAAGGGTTGGAGCAAAGACAGCAGAACGACGGCTACGTGATTTTGCCTAAAAAAATTCCAAATCGTATTGTTCAATTAGAATCAAATTTTAATTTAAAACGACATTTGGAATGTCACCAAAGAAATAATCAGTTCAAAAATCGCAACAATAAATGTGTTTATGCCTCACCTCAACAATGACAGCATCACCGCTTTCGGCTGGTTTTTCAACGGCCGCAATGACTGGTGTGATGGCTGCTGGTGCAGCGGCGTTTGGTGCATTTGGCAATGCATTTGATGCAACACGATATCCAGCCGCATCGGCAATGTATTCGGTGGTCAACAATCGGCCATCGGGTGCAACATACGAGAATGAACCGGCCTTGTTGCCTTGGGCATCTTGAACGGCATCATGCGATTGGAATGGTTCACGATGTCCATAGGTGGCTTCGCCTAATTCATTTTGTGAATGATATTGCGATTTTCCCTCGCCAATGAATTTATTCTCAACCGCCAAAATTTGAGCGGCAGCTGGTGCGGCTACATCGATTAAATTAACGAGTTGAATGGAGACATTTGTCAGAAGTGTGATTAAAATTTGTATTAGAAATTTTATGTTCGCAGCACTCAAAATGTTGCTTCTGCTTCATTGACTTCAATGGCCAAAGCAAGTACAAATAATAATTACCTGCGACAAAAGCTGGTGCTGGTGCAGCGAATCGGTAAAATGGTTTCGTTTCATAGGTGATTGGTAACAATTTGGTGGTTGGAATAGCAATAGCAGGAGCAGCAATTTCAGCCGCACGTAATTCCGTGCTCAATGGAGCTGCTTTGAGTACTGGAGCTGCATATGTTGCCTGCAATTAAAAGAGAAGTTTGAATTGAACAAACAAAAAATGGGCGAAAGAAACGGAACAACCCAAAATATACGTACGGGTTGCAGAAATTTTGTCTCTGCTAAAATTGGTTCGGCGGCAGCAGCAGCAATGTAACCTTGGGCAGCAATTGGGGTAGCGATTTGGGCGGCATATGGAGTGGCAAAGTTGTAGAATCTGCGCTCGAGATTTCCGCCGGATCGAACGTGTGCGTAGTTATTATATGATGGTGTTTGTACTGAGGTGCTGTATTCGTAGCTTGGTTTTGGTTCGTCCAAAATCAATGACGAGTAGGCTAATGGGGCCGAAGCCAAGATGGCCTCACCAGCGTATGCAACACCAATCAATGCTAATACAATCTAAACACAAATAAAAGAAAAATCTCTTCTTATGCTCAACCAACTAACGAAAAATTAACCACTCAAAAGCAGAAAAAAAGTCAAACTTTCGAAAATAATCGATTTAAAAATAGAGAGATAGAGAAACCGTTTCAAAATAATTACCAAAACTCTCATGATGAAAATGCGTGGAATAAAAATGCGTTCCGTTGAATGATTCAACACAAGCTTTAGAATGAAACTGTGATGATTGTGCAAAAACCTAGAACCTTTTATACTTTGGTAGACAGATGCCGTCGTTTCGTTGTCGCATCTACATGCCGGCCACGCACGATGCATCTTTGCTATCGTTGTCGTCTTCTATTCCATTCTTACCTTTGGCCATGTCCATTGCGTGCTCAGAACCCATCGCCTTGTTGCTTATTTTTGGTGTGTTTTCGTCGCTTAAAGTTGTCTCGTTATCGTCGTTTTGTAAGTGAGACAACGCAACCATTTTTACCTACGTACGAAGCGAAATGAAAGAAGCAGAATGAAAAAAATTATGAACATACACACATTACAAATAAAATACTAGTTTCGCATTTCAATTCGCTAACATTTAACTTGCTCTTATTTTCATTACGTTCCATTTGTTATTTCCTTTTCGATAAATCTTCTCCGTTGGATTCGTATTTTATATGTACGCAAAATGGTCGCACGCAAAGCAAGGGGATCCATGGGATCAACAAGCGATGCAATTTATTAACCGACATGAACGACGATGAAAAAAACCAACAACAGCAATAACACACTCCAACCAAGTCTATTCAGGCGCGCGAGAGATGTTCACAAAGAGAGATGAAAGGAACACATACATTTTTGTTCAAATTATTTTGGCTTGTGGTGTGGTTGTTGTTGTTGTTGTATCGTCTGCATATGAGTGGAAAGCGGTTTGTTTATGGCTAGTTAGTTATATTTCACGCGGTGTAAATGGAACAACTAGAAAGAATCCAAAACGTTGTATTCATATTAAAAAGAATGCAATAACATATGATCTCGATGTATCTCGTTTTTTTTCCTCCTTCGATCTGATACAGGGTGATGCTACAGATCAACTGAACCGCCTTCTTTTGATCGATTTGATTAAAAAAAAACTTTACTTTGTAATTTTGCTTTTGCTTCGCACTTTTTTTTTGCAATGTCTGTGCTGATGCATCGCATTTCAAGAAAACGAAGTGCGTTCGGCTTACGATCACCCGGTGATCATCATTCGTTTTCGTGCGATCGTAATAAAACTACGGCCGATAAAAAATGTTTTTAAAATCGTCGAAATGCCTGTGTCCATGCCGAAGAAAAGTTATGTTGTGCTCCATTACTGTCATTACATTGGCTATGACTATTTTTATTTCGTAAAGTTCAAGGTGATCCGAAAAAAACATTGCTGTACAAAATGTTCCGTTTTGTTATTTATGTGGCTTCACACCTTTTCGGTGAAGGGACGAGCGAATAAGCACTTCGCTTGCATCGCTGAAAGAATCCATTCTCATTAAAAAAAATGCGCTCGCATGCTTAACTGTGCCGTTGTTACTGTATCAAATGTCGTCATTCGTGTTATTATTTATTCGGCTTTAATGGCGCATCTGCAACGCGCGCGCCCGCGCAATAACTGATCAAATCAACTCAACATGATTCGATGCATTCTTCTATATTTAAATTACACCAGTTTATTATGGCTCTTATTGAGAATTGCGGCTTTTTTCTGTGTTCCGCTATTGAAACGGCCATAAAATTTGACAAATAATTTGTTCATTTTCGATATAAGATTGTTTTGTTTACACCAATCCAGCTATCTATTCTCTCATAGCGATTAAGAACATGAAACGAATCGATAAAGATACGCGATGGCAATTACATTCGCACAGTGTGTGCAAAATGCACAATAAACACTCTTAAAGGATTTTAATGGTTTGGATCAATTAAAGTGTTTCTCGTATAAACTGTGCACTTAATTGAAAGTTTTTTTTCGCCAACTCCAGCCATAGGATGTATTGCGCACATTGAAATCAACCATTCCGAATTGTCTTAGGTTTATATATCGATTTGATTGCAATATGCAAAACTAGTTTTACCTCCGTTTGTAGCTCTGATATTTCTCGCTCCTCATTCCCAGGATAACAATTAAATTTATACTTAGATCGAGTCGTTTTTTTTTATGTTCGCTCAAATGCAATCAGTGTTGGCGTTTGTGAGTTTTATACCGAATGTTTGTGTTTCGCCTTTGGGTGATGGTATTTTTGGAGCTCTTATACACGTCGGCCGGTTTCACTCCTAGTCATTAATAATTCATTTCAGGAAATCGTTAGTGATGGGGCGCAAGAAAAAAAAAACATAAAACGAGAAATATGTCGAAAATGCACGGCTGATTCTTTATTCATCTGTTAAGCCCATTGATTGATATGGCAAGCCATTTTTCCAATACGAAGATGAATGTGGTAAAGTTTGTGAAATGACGTCGTCGTCATCGTCGCCGTCGTCGTCTTCGCCGTCGCCGTCGCCATCGCCGTTGCCACAGCGCAATGCCAATTGATTACATCTTTGCTCTTCACCACATAACTTTGAATCGATTAATTCTGTTTTATTTCGTTCTTGTCGTTCACTTTTGAAAACTGGTTCGTTACATTTCGTCTTGAAACTTAAACGAACAAAAAAGCAACCATTAATACAAAAAAAGATGCATGCAACTCGTTTATCGTATCGGCTCTCAATTAAAGTCCATAATTTTTCTTTCACATTGTTACAAATAAGTACCTCTGCATAATAATTCAATTTAATTAAAAAAATTATATTTAAATGAAATCACTTAATTGGAACTTTCGATTTTAATCAGCTGAAGTTCCACACCAAGATTCTCATGTTTAGGCGCAGCCAAAAACAGAAAAAAAAACTCTTTTCTTCACAGTTGATCTTATTTTTTTTTTTATGGATTTTTCACTTACAGATGGTGCCGATGCATTCAAGAGGCTATCACCACGAATGGAAGCAACCCATGTTATGGAAGTTGCACAGTTATTGTTGTCGTTGATTCATTCGTGGGGCATCGATTTGCATTTGGATAAAGTATGCGAAACACAATTGGGATTGCTGCGACCACAGGTAAAGGATTGAAACCATATCAAAACAAAGTTTTTGGAGTTAAGACTCAGTCGATGGAAGATAAGAATTTTCACTGAATATTTTCTGTTCAAAAACAGAACGAGAAAAACAGTTTGGATTTTTTTTATTGCCCAACCCGAACATCGATTTAAATTAGTTAATTCCAAAAATTCTATCTCGAAATTCTAGATCCCAGTGTCTTTCGGGGTGTTATCAAAAGGTGGCTATATGTCATTGCTGTTGCCGACTTGGCAAAACGATTTGGTCGTTGACAAAACAAAGATTCCAGATGATATTCAGATCCAGAAAGAACTCACACCGGAGCTCATTCGTCAAGAGAATTTAACGCGAATATTTACGGCACGATTACATTGGGAATTGAGCACAACGATAACGTCAAACCATTTATTGGCCATGGTCGCTATGTCAAACACATTGATGTCAATGCAATTGGCCACATTCATACCAGAGCATGAACGTAATAAGAAATTGCATCGTCATTCGAATCGCCCTGGTGCCGCTGCCTGGTCAAATGAAGAGCACGAAGAACTGTTCACACAGCAACAGGCGCAAATCAAACAAGGATGGAGCCTGCTCTCTACACACCATTGCTTCTTACTACCCGATAAAATCGATCAAATTGGTAATTGTTTTTTTTTTTTTTTTCAAAGAGAGAATTCTTGAATTGAACTCATTTGTTTCCATCAAACTTTGTTTTTTTATGAACTCGTATTTTCGTATTTACTAAAAATTGATCGAGAAAATGGTTGCAATAATTGTGATTAATTTCAAATAATTTTTTCTCTATTTGTTACTGTAGAACCGCACAACTTCAAGCGTCCTCAGGTGGAGATGATGGCTAGACGTTGGCAACATCATTGCATTGAAATACGTGAAGCGGCCCAACAGATTTTGCTCGGTGAATTGGGACGCATGGGAAAGAAAGGTCGTAAGCAATTGGTGGAAAGTTGGGCACAATTCTTGCCTCTATACACGCACACCGAACCTATCGTTCAACAATTACCGCAGAGTACATCACAACAAAGCATCTCCGGTGCACCAGCCACCCAAGTTCAGGAACCAAATGTAAGTGAAACGATTCGTATGAAGATGAAAAAAGGAGTAATGTCATTGGCATAGACAAATCAGAGTGTTAGAAAAATCAACCAATAATTTGATCCAATTTATATTCTATAGCCTGATGATTTTGAGGAAGAAGAGGAGGAGATCGTACGAAAACCATCAAGCTTGGCCGAACTGAAACGTAAGCAAACAACAGCTGTCGTTCTGCTGGGTGTTATTGGAGCTGAATTCGGCCAAGATATTTCTACTGATTGTAAGTTGAATCGCGGATTCTTTCTATGAGTTTTCCTATTTACCTTTGATTTTATATTCCGATTTCTAAATCAAAACCATTGCTTTGACAAAAAAAATACCTACAGCTAATAACAGCACGAAACGTCATTCTGACCAAAGACGCAAGAGTTCGGTGGTAGAAGGTTTTGGCATCGGTAACAATAATCTCGCTCGTCTCACCTCGATGGCATTGACACATTTATTGCTCGCACCACCGACCGTCAAATTACCGGCACATACAGCACTACGTCGTGCTGCGATCGATTTGATCGGACGTGGTTTCACTGTATGGGAACCGTATTTGGATGTAAGCAAAGTGCTGCTTGGTTTGCTTGAAACATGTTGCGATTCCAGCCGCTTGGTTCCAAGTCTAAACTATAAACTACCGTTAACACCTCAAGCCGATGCTTGCCGAACCGCACGACATGCACTTCGTTTGATCGCAACCGCCCGACCGGCTGCATTCATTACGACAATGGCCCGTGAGGTGGCCCGTTACAATACACTGCAGCAAAATGCTCAAACAATAAGCGTTCCATTGACTCAATCGGTGTTGTATCGCGCCAAAAAGGAGATATTGCAGTGTGTCGAGATGCTGATCGATAAAATGCAAACGGAAATGGCCACCTTGCTGGTCGAAGTGATGGACATTACACTGCATTGTGTCGATGCAAGCGATTTGAAAACCAAAGGCCTCAACGAAGTTTGCCCATCCATTTGTAAATTCAATCAAATTTCTCATTGTTCAGCTACACGACGCATTTCAGGTTGGTTTTTTCTTCTTATGTGCTTACTGTTTTCCAAGATAAATTTGAAAAAAAAAAATGCAAGAAAAAAGAGACGATTTTATTGAAATGAAATAATTTGAATGCAAATTGATTTTCAGTTGGTGCAAGCAATGGAAATTTGGCAATCTATGAACTGCGACAGAATAAATGTCAAATGATCCCAGCTCATTCGAATTCGATAACAGCGTTGGCATTCAGTCCAGACGGTAAATTCTTAGTTAGTTACTCGTGTGGCGAGAATCGGCTATCGTTCTGGCAAACCAGCACAGGTAAGATTTCATTCGAAAATTTGGGTGACAGTCATAACGCCCATTCCAATGTTTAGCTATCCATTCGAAAAATAAGTTGAACGAAAGATTAATGTAACGTGGGTCGTTTTTTTTCTGCATAAAAATCTAGGTATGTTTGGTTTGGGTCAATCGCAGACACGTTGCATCAAAGGCTATTCAACGGCACCAATACCGGATGTGACACGCTTGAATCCGATGCGTTTGGCCAAATTGATTTGGATCAACAATCGAACTGTGACTCTGATGCTTGCCGACGGTTCCGAGACCCGTTTCAATGTCTAATTTTCATCTCTATTATATAACTACTATAGCTGTGTTGATGTTAGACTTTGCATAATGTTGATGACAATGTAAACACACACAAAAACAACTACCACGTTTATTCGAGTTTTGAGCAGTTGAAGGAAATGTTGCCCAGTTTTTTTTTTGTTCCGGTTTCTATGCGCACTTATTTATTTCAACTGTTTTTTTGCTTGATAATTTCCTATCAATCACACCGTCGTTTTAATTATCAATGCAAAAGCGTATACCAATCAATCAAGTCATTTATTTGTTTATTCTCTTTGGAAATTCCATTTTTATTGCTCGTTTTACCAACACTTTCCTTTTGTGAAGGCAAAACGGTATTTTTTTTTCTTGTTCTGGCTTATTTTTTATTCATTGTTACATATACTACTGTGTCCAAAAAGTAAGGTGACATTGCATTTATTTTGAAAATTCTTTATTTATTCTTCCAAATCAATTTCATCGCCTTCAAAGTAATCCCCTCCCGATACAATGCACTTATGCCAACGGATTTTCCAATCTTCGAAACAGTTGAAAAAGTCGACTTCAGGGATGGCCCTCAGCTCCGTCTTCGCTGCGGCTTCAATCTGCTCTATCGTCTCAAAACGGTGTCCCCGGAGCGGTCTTTTGAGCTTGTTGAACAGCCAGAAGTCGCACGGTGCCAAATCAGGTGAATACGGTGGTTGTGGAACGATATGAGTTGAGTTTTTGGCGAAATGTTCACGAAGAATGATCGCATTGTGAGACGATGCATTATGATGGTGCAAAAACCAAGAGTTGTCTTTCCACAATTCCGGCCTCTTTTGGCGGATAGCGTTACGCAAACGATGCATAACACTCAAATAATATTCCTTGTTGACTGTTTGACCCGGGGGAAGGAACTCATAATGCACAACACCCCGATAATCGAAGAAAACAGTCAACATGACCTTGATTTTTGAGCGACTTTGGCGCGGTTTTTTTGGTCTCGGCTCACCTTTGGCACGATATTCGCTCGATTGGTCGGTTGTTTCCGGGTCGTAAGCATAGATCCAAGTCTCGTCTCCAGTGATCATGCATTTCGTCTTGTCAATGTAGTCAGAAAGCATTGTTTCACACACGTCAACTCGACACCTTTTTTCCAAAAAATTCAATGATTTCGGTACCAGTCGAGATTTGACGCGTTTGAGGCCCAAAACATCCTTCAAAATGGTATTGACTGAGCCTTTCGATATGCCAATATCATCAGCAAGGTCTCTAATCGTTAATCGACGGTTTTCCAACACCAAATCTTTAATTTTTTGGACGTGAGCTTCGTCGGTTGAGGTTGATGGTCGCCCAGCACGCTCTTCGTCTTCGACACATTCACGGCCTGCTCGGAACTCACTATACCACTTGTAAACATTTTTTTTCGACATAGCCTCATCACCAAAGGCTTTCTGCACCATCCTCAACGAATCCGCAGCAGAAAATTGATTCCGCAAACAAAATTTAATGCAAATTCTTTGATCAACAAATTTCGACATCGCAAAAAACGAGAAATTCACTTTTAGCAGTCCACAAAACGAAGCGTATCTCAAACACTAATGAATATTTTGACGTGTAATTTGGCAGGGATGTCAAAGACAGTCCTACCAACCTAAAAATAAAAGGATTTTTTCAAATTCCCCAGCGCGCTAAATTTTAAATGCAATGTCACCTTACTTTTTGGACACAGTATTATATATTGAAAATTGAAATCTATCGAAGAAAAAAAAAGTTAAAGAAAACAAAAATCACCTAAAAATTTATAAATTTACTTGTTGTATAGTTTAGTCATATATCTATAACTAAAAATTTTATTCTTTGTTTCGAAATCAAAAATGCGTTGTTCGACATCAGGCAACAAAATATCGAAAGGAAAAAATTATTATCATTCTAATCATTATATGAAGTTCATTTTAAATCAAATCTATTTGAGATATTTGCAGCTAAAGCAAAATTTCAATATAAACCAAACGAAAACCAAAATCAAGTCTATTGAGAAAAAAAAGAAAATCATTCGATAAAGAAAATGTATTAAAAAAAATCAATTTACTGGATAAAGCAATAAAGTGAAAGAAAAATTCATGAACAATTGAAGCGTATTTAATTTTACACCGGTCGAAAGAAAAAAGAGTGTGTTGATCTCACTTCATTTGCAAAATGGCAACAGTTGAATGCGAGCGGAAAAAATGGTTTTATTATTCGCGCCGGGTAAGTCGAATCGAGTGTGTCACTAGGTTTTTTTCTTCTTCTCTTTTCTCACTCTCTCTCTCTCTCTCTCTTTCTCTCCGTTTTTCTTTTTTCGGAAGCAACGAAATCGAATGCAAATAGAAATGTAGTCGGATCAATAAACCGATTTTATATTTTGGCGTATTTACTGCTTAATTTATTTGTTTGACACACCGTGCTTCTCTTTCGCATTATTTTCCATTCGTTTCACTTTTTCTTTTTTCCGTCTCATTTGCTCGATCTTGTCGCCCGATTCGATCATCTTGAGCCGAAAATTGACGACCGAACGAGAGAAAAAAAAAGACAGGAGAGAAAGAAAAAAAAACTGTTCAAATTTAAATGAATTCAAAAGTGAAATTATATTTATTGATTTCGACGAATTCGGCGAACAAACTCATGAATAATCGGATGGCAACCGCTATACAAACAATTACCCTTTCATTTCAATCGCTACGACGACGCACTATATTTTTTGTTTATCTTTCGCTTTTTTTCTGGCCACTTTCTTCGTTGTTCATCTTTTCCAATTTTCGACGATGTGACCGTGCGTCATACAAAACAAATTCGTAATGGTGTTTATTTTTTTGTTGTTGTTCATTATTTAAACAAAACATGCGGCTATTTTCTTGAGAAAAAAAAACAACCAATATTTGCCTGTTCAAATCTACGCATTCAGAATATTTTGAAGGGAAAAAAAACCGAAGAATTTTTTAAATAAACAAAATCTTCGATTTTCTTCATGTTTTTTTTTGTTCTTCGTCAACATGCTTTACGATCGTAAAACACGTTGCGTTCATAAAAAGCGGCTTTCATAGTAATTGCACGAATTGATTGCATTGATTAACGATCCCATTACAATCATTTATATTTTTATCACTTCCCGAACTTCGCTGTACGATAGCAATGAACAAGCATCTTTGACATATCATCTAAAAGAAGAAATAGAATGCATTACAAATGAAGGGAAACCTTCGATACAAAAGAATGAATCACATTCAAAAGAATATTCGATGAATTTATATCTCAGACAGAGATATTACCTTAAGGCTTTCTCCGTTCATCTTTAACACATACACAGACATATAGAGAGAGAACAATTGATCGTGATTTGAAAGCGTTCGTTGTTAAGTCTTGTGCAATTTGCATATATGCATGTCGCATGTTGTTTTTTTTTATCTTCTGCATACATGAAAATTAGAGTGGGATGGCTTGAGGATGAGGTAAGAGAACGTCGGATATTTTCGCACATATACTCTTGGAATTGTTGTTGTCGTCGTGGTTGTCGTCGTCGTTGTCGTCGTCGTCGTCGAGTTTATGTGATGATTCCGCATTGAAAAGTCATTGCCAAAGTAGACGCAAGATCCGAGCGCATAATTTATAGCGGCTCCATACAAACGCGACAAAGAGAGAGAAGAAATCGAAGAAATATATGCCATTAATATTGACTTTGGTAGGCATGTTTATGTCTCTGTGTATGTGTGTTGACTGAATCGAAGGCCTCTTAACATCTTCTGCTGGTGAAATGTTGAATGTGCATGGGCGCGTTGCATTCACCACAACACTAAAGCCATTGGATGCTCAATAGATCAATCCAATAAAGAAAGCAAATCAGAAAAGAGAGACAGAGAGAAATACAACGCGAACAACGATAACAAAAAAGAAAATAAATATATATTTGAAGAAAAAAAATGGAAAGGTTTGTGTTGGCTCGATCGATCGATCGTTCGATTGATCACGGCGCAACACACAGCCGACCGTCGACGAAAGTGTGAAAGAGATGCACAATGGCAAATGCGCCATGTATTGATATTATAAAATACTTGAGCGGTTCACATAATATCTTCATTTGTCAGTACAGGCCATTAGTGAAAGATTATAACGAGATTGGTTTTGTTAATGCACGACACTCTCTGACTTCAGTAAGTTATGAAGCTCGGATTCTGTTGAAACGTTTCCCATACACTCTTGTGCAAGATAATTTCTTTTTCACGTAAATTTGAAAAAAACCTTTGCGGTGACAAACGGAAAATCCATTGCAATTTTTTTTAATTTCATTCGAAAATATTGTTCTTCAAAAAAATCAATTGAAAACTATTCATAAAGAAACGTTCAAAAAATAAACCAAAATCATGAAGAAAATTCTGGTTACGATCTTAGTGACGAACGTGGTTGCGTTATGTATGTCAGCCAGTTTAATCGGTAAGTGTGTGCAGGTCTCGGTGTGCAAGTAAATCCGTTACAATTGCAAATTCAGAATTGGATAGCATAACAGGACTTATTTTTCTCTCTTCTTCGTCTTCTCTACACCATCTGTTGTTTCGTTAAAATGGATAGAATGAGTATGATTCAGTACAGCATACTCGTTTTTCATTCGTTCTGAAGTAGAATAGAGGAAAAAAAAACACAAATAATGTTGGACAATGTATGTGCGTGTGTTTTCTTTAAATTGTAATTAATGTGTGTGAATTATTGATTTGATTGTTATTAGATTATATATCCGGTTCGGAGGAAGGGCGTCAAAGTGATGCTGGTTCACGGAATTGTATTTGCAAAGATTTGTCGTGCATTTGTTGCTTAGATTTCAACATCTCGTTTATTGATCTCGGTGGACCAGGTGAGAAACGTTGGAATTTTATGAAAGAAAATTTAGAAAAATTACACCAAATTGTGGAAGACTTTTTTTTTCCCTAAAGATTTTCTTCTGAATAATTTTTTTTTGTTTTGAATTAATCGCAATTGAAAGACAAAAATTCGAAATAAAATGTGTGTTCATTTCATTCAAAGGATGTGTACGATTGAATTATCTGTCACCGGAGGAGGGAATTGCCATAAATGTGTCATATGGTGAGAGTCTTCTTCATAATGAAGTAGTCAAAGGGCCAGATCCTCCACCAACCTGTTTGAACATCTTTGCACAATTGGCACAGATGTGTGCACGTTTCAAGGGATTGATGCCAACCGATGATGGTCTAAAAGGTTGTGTGAGCTTGGAACCAATGTTGCTGGGCGAAGCACAGCTTGACTTACCGATCGGTTGTTTCCGGATGTCACCCCGTGGCATGGAAATTATCCAATCGCCCAACGAAATTATTGACGAACAAAAGCCACAAGAGTCGGACAAACTGGATAATGGAAACAGTACGAGCGAAGATAGTGAAGGGCCCGATTCGTTGGCTGGATACACGGCTGCCGATATTTTAGCGGTGGTAAATGAATCGGCTGAACAGGGCATTGCATTGATTACCAATTGGCTTGGTATTGCACCAAATGCAACCGATGAGGCTGCACCTGAAGCGAACAACGTCTCACCACCAGCCCAATCACAATATCCAACCGAAACCAATCATTATTCGTCTGGTTCCAACAACGGCGGCCATGTTGTTTTTGGCTCAAAAACAGTCTCATAAATGAACCCAAACCTCTATTATCTTTTGTTTTTTTTTTCTAAATAATTCCAATTCCCACTTTATTTATTCTTAATTTATGTCAAGCCGACGCAAGTTGAAAGTAATTGAACAGAAAAAAAACCTATAATGAAAGACGCTAAATTCATACATGTGACAATTGCAGGCGAAAAGAAAAGCGGGATCGGTGATTGATTGTACGCAAATTGGAGAATATTTATTTATTTATTCTATTTTTATTAATTTTATTTATGTACGATCTCGCTTCATTTTTTTTCGGAAAAAATCGTATATATTTTTTATGCAATTATTTTGCGATGTGTCACTTCATTTGATTTCTTTATCGATTTTTTGTTGAATTTTTTATTTTCGTTTTTTTTGGCAGATTTTCTTTCTTTTTATTTTTATTCTTACGAGAAAAATTACAAAAAAAAGAAGAATGTTATTTAGAATTAAAAATACGTGTGTTTTTTTTTTTCAAAAAAGAAATAAAATAAAGCTGAATTACAACAACAGAATTGATTTGTGTATTGTATTGCTTTTTGTGATTTTGGTTTTTTCCTGTTGGAATAATAACATCGAAGAAAAAAAAAAGTTTGTTGCATACTATATTCTATATAAGAAAAAATGTATCGATTCGATTTGACTTGTGTTTTTTTTTTTTTTTTTGATTTCATATACATATTTTGTTGAACGTGTTGTTTTTTTCTTCTCTAATGTTGGTTGAACATGTTATCGATATTCATGCTGATCATTTGTAAAATGAAGGAAATAATGAAATATTCCTTATTGGAACGAACGAATGCGCTCGAGCTACTAAACCTACATGTCGTTTGTGTGTGTATGTGTGTGTATTTATTTGTGGCTTGTGGTGTGAGAGAGATAGGTAAATATTACATAAGTCCATTCATATATATATATTGATGAAATTGTTACTGCTGTTTTCATAAACTTTAATTCTTAATTAGGTAAGTGTTTCGGCGCTAAGTGCTATGTTACTTTCTTCAACTTCAATCACGATCCATTGGCAAAACGCATTGTTTCAGGAATTCACTTCATTATATTACGCCTGGAAGATCTCGCTTTCCAGCAGCAAACAATTTAAACTCTAATACTGTTCTTCACTTCGATGCTCTGATTCACCGCTGAAAACAACAATGAAAAGAAAAAAGAAAACATTAAAGGCATGAACAATTCATTTCGATTCAGTTCAACTATTGAATGAAACAAATTTGTTGGGTTTTTTTCTTCTCCATTTTACCTGGCTGAACGTCCTCCGTCAATGTAATCAATTCTTCATGAGTGAGCGATTTGGTTTGTTCCTTGAAACTTTGCACTTCATCGGTAAACCCTTGCCAGAACGACAAATGAGGCGGGAACGAAAAGAGTTTCTATAGAAAAAAACACGACATTTGGTTGTTACTTTCTCTCAACCTAACCACATTTCTGTTCATCATCTTCTCTTTATTAGTTTGTGTTGCAGTAAAACACGCCCAATTGAAACTTACTTTGAAATTTTTGTAGATGATTTCAGCCAATTTGCGAATTTTCGTGGCTTTATCATTGAATTCGATACGCTGTTCATCGGTGAAGTTCCACTCTTTTGTATTGCCTACATATCGACGCAAACGCTTAATCGTTTCGGCCACTTGTGGATTTTTCTTGAGCATTAATGCGGTCACCTCCAAATTCTTGTACTTTTCCAATACGGAAATGCATCGGCTTGTATCGGCCGATGATAACTGCAAACTTGACTTGATATCCACATCATATTGCAATAGATTCACTTCGTTCATGATAATTTGTGATACTTTGATCTCGCCATCTTCTGAATCACATGGGAATTAATCGATGTTCAATTAAATTGTATTGTGTGATTTCAGAGATCTCTTAATTCTAAATTGTTCAATACTTACGGCTTTCAGCTGATGTGCTGATTTCGTCGGCCTGATGATAGAACAAAATGAAATCGGTATAAAATTAATGATTCTACAACAGAAACAGAATTAATTACATACCTTTCGCTGAATTTTTGCAATGGGTGTCTGGCTTTCTGATGGCCGTTTTCGTTTAACCGGAACTTGTGGCGATTCTTCGAATTCGTCATGGAGGTACCTTGATTGATAAAGAAAAACGACAGATTTAATACATTGCTCATATTTTCCGAATGAAATACGTACTTTGTTTTCTTGATCACACGACCGCTTCGACTTGATTTGGCCTCAGATTTGGGCTCAGCTTTGGGCGTTTCCTTGGCAACAACAGGTGTAACATTCAATTCTGGCTCTGGCTTAGCAACTGGCTCTGGTTTGACTGTTTCTGGTTTTACTGGGACTGCAACTTCCTGCAATGCAAATAGTCTCTCATTGATAAACAAAAATAGTCGATGGGTTTCAAAAACAACGTGCCGAACAGAAATATGCGTACAAAGTGTAAATTGGCTTGAAACAAAAGCAAAAAAAATGAAACTCTACGGCTTACCTCAACCGCTTCGGATGCAACTTCGTTGTCATTGGCAGTGTCAACGCCTTCATCTTTATCATCTGATTCAGGCTCTTGTTCCGGTTCTGGTTCTGGTTCTTGTTCGACAGGATCGGGCTCGGGCTCGGCCTCAGCCTCTTCAGCTTCGCCTTCATCATTGTCATCTTCAATCTGTGATTCATCAATCTTTGTACTGTTTCCACCGAATCCGGTCGTGTCGAGTGTGCTGTTCAATGTGTTGTCAAATGTTGCATTCGATTTATCCAATGGAATCTGAAAAGAATTTTATTCGCAATGTTGAATAACGTTTTTTTTTTCAAAGTCATTGAATGTATATTTTATGTACCTCGTATGAATTTGGTGCTGGGTCATTGCCACGCAACGCATCTTCAATCTGATCAATGGCCGCTTTGAAATCCTGTTTCTTCATCGAACTGCTGGTGGCGAGTTTTTGTTTGGTTTTTTCATACAATGACACGTCTTTAGCTTGAACATTACCACTGTGTGAATGAGAACAATCAATGTAATCATAAGAGTCCAGCACAAAAATGTTTAAAACAATGCGATACGGATATAAACTATGGAAGAACTGTGAGAGATTATCGCATGGAGTTGATTGGCTAAAATGATTCCATCGGCAGACTCTCGAGATTAATTTTTGGATTATGTTGTAAACAGCAATGAAACTCAGTACTCAATAATTTCAATGCTAAATTCTCCGAAAGAATTTCAATAATCCGCTGAATTGAAAACAATAATGAATGATTGTTTTACTTACGTCTCTCCAGTTCCATAGAAGTAAACACTGTACTTTTTGGATTTTGTAATATCGACGATCTGCGAAAAAGAAATGACAACTCAATTGATTCCATGTTTTCATTTGCATGAAATTTAATATCCACTGTTTTTGCTTCATGTTACTTCAATGCACACATTAAAATATGAAATTGACGAAAAAAAAGTTTACATGAGTATTTTGTCGCGTGAACCAAGCAAAAACTATTTGGTTTCACCTGAAAAAAGCAGTAAAACCGCTCATTCAAAAATACGTAAATTCAAAGAATTTTTTTCGTGTGTGGCAGTTTGAAGCAAAAGACTAAACAAATGTGTTTTTTTCATCAGTGCATAACAATAGTAATAATAACAAATGGCTTTGGCACGACGACGACGACGACGGCAGCGACAAGAGAAAAAAGTGTCGACACTTACTTTAGCTGGCCAAGCCGGGTATCCTTTGACTTTGGCAAACACCAAATCGCCAACATTGAATGAGTCCTTTTTGCCCATGTTGCACGTCGTTTTTTTTTTCTTTTCACAATCGTTTTTTCACAATCAAGCACCGACAACGCACAAATTTCTAACCAACAAAAAAAAAATTGGTTAAAGCTGTTTCGGTAATACGACCAAAAGAAGCGCACCGACAAAAAAAAAGAACTGTGTTTTTTTGTACCGAATGGTGTGATTTGCTAAGTTTCTACTTCATTTGAAGACGAGGCGAGCGAGAGAAAAAAACACTTTACCGAATACACTGACGAAATAAAATGCATAAATTGAATATGTAGAGAGCAAAAAAAAGCGGCACGATCGTCTGTTGTGTATATGTGTGTGCGGTAATGATTCCAGATGTCAGCTCTGGCATATGACACAATCAAAAAGCAATTGAATTGCGATGCACAACTATTTTCAATTCGATTCGAAGCAATTTCCGTTTATCACACACAAAAATCACCAGCGTTTGAATTGTGTTGTGTCAAGATTTCGGCAGATAAAATCAGAAGAATTTCTTTTAAATTCGCAGTGACTTTTCTGAATATCGGTAGACACAAAAAACGCGCTATCACACCAATGCATCGAATAACAAATAGAACGTACGCAGTGATGTGTTGGTGTGTGTGACATTTGTGACAATGATGCAAAGGCTCAGTCGAAGTGGTCCACACGTTGAAACGAAATACAGCGGTTTGACAGCAGTCAACACCGTATTTACGTATGTTGACTATGTGCGTTGGGTTCAATAATAATTTTCGAGTTTAAATTGATTCGAAAAAAAAAATAATTAAAAACTGTTCAGCGAAGAAATACATATTTATTTTGTTCATTGTCATTGACCAACATTTTGTCAGATGCCATTAAATTCGTTTTACAAAACAATTGTCACATCAAAAAGATCCGATTCATGACCGATTGTTAAATTGTTTACAAACTGCTTTTCCTGCATTAAATATCCAAATGAAAACACATGAACTGTTATAAATGACTGTTGCCGTTAACAAAATTCAATGTGATATGCTCATTGAACCCAAGTAAATCAGAGGATCTTCAGACTTTGCTCTGTCTTTTCCTTTTTAAGTAAAAAGTTGTTGGAATAAATAGAATCATCGTATGAAAATGTCATGATTTCATAACGAAATGAATCACATTGCTCCAATACTATTTAAGTCAAACTTAAATTAAAATAGCTTTGTCTGGAACTTGATTAGATTTTTCAATCTCAACTGCAGACACTTTTTCACACTTTTTCGGAAAAAAAATACATCAAAATATGTCGCAATCTTGCATTAGAAAAACCAAAAACAATTTATACGTAGAAGCTGTGGCGCTAAAATGTCGGTAATAATGCATCCATTGCCAGATGAAACGCATTCATTCGGAGCATTTGATAGGCATGACAATTTGGTTGACACTTTATGCGTGCTCAACAACTGGTCCGATATGCGAATGCTCGCATATATACCATGACAAACGTACAAAAAAAAACAGAACATCGCACTGAGAGCAAAAATCGCACCGATCCACGCTAACTAAACGAGGTACGTATATTGATAAATTGCTATTTGTTATTTTCATTGTGTATTCTGATAATAATTTCTTTGTGTTTCGGTTGCCGTTTTGTTTTCAATAAGCAAACAATCATTCTCAATATTTTCATGTAGATAATAGACATCGGAATAAGCAAAATTAATTTAAAAAGAAAAATAAAGTCTCAAACAGTCACATTGTTCGGCGTGCACATTTTAAATTCTTCCTATTTTCTAGGTATTGAGATTTAGTGGGCGTAAAATTCATAAAAACTTAAAACGATGTCTGGCCGTGAAGGAGGTAAAAAGAAGCCATTGAAGGCACCAAAGAAAGAAGGCAAGGAATTGTCCGAGGAAGACAAGGAATTCAAGGCAAAGCAACAAGCAGATAAAAAGGCTTTAGAAGCATTGAAAACGAAGGCTGGCCAAAAGGGCCCGTTGACTGGTGGCGGCATTAAGAAATCGGGCAAAAAATAAAGACCAGGAGAATTATCATCAACAATCAAATCCACTCACACCAAATATTCGTAATTTTCAAACCGCACCATAAATTTCATTTCAACACCTCGAATAAATTTCGCATTCGTTTTGTAAAACTGGATTAAATGCATTACACGTATGGCAACAACGGTTATTTTGTGTTCACACATGAACAAAATGCATTTATTTGAAACGAAATTTATGAAAATAAAGTACAATTTCTAAAAAAAAAAGAAGCTCGTCTTTGTTCAATTACTTCATTTTATCGTTGTTGTTCAGAGATCGGTCGGTTTTTGGCATTGCTGTTGACACTCTTCAGATGCCCGCGCAGGCTGTTCGGTGAATGAAATTGATCGTTTACATAAATTTGATGGCGAACTGGTGATGATTCAACGGCCGATTTGGTTTCATCGTCCTCTTCCGTTTGGTTCTCGTTTATTGCACAGATTTTTTGATTACCATCATTGAGATCGTCCAGCATATCGAAATCTCGCAATGAATCACTTGAGCTGCTCCTCTCGCTGTAGCTGTAGCTATCATCCGAATCTGAAAGACTGGAGAAACTGTCGAATTCATCACTCGATTCATCCGTTTCTTGGACAAAAACATTCCAACTTGTTGGCATTGGGCTGGTTTGATTGCCAAAATCTCTGGACTGCACACCGTCTGTGCCAACAGCAATATCACGCATTTGAACTGGTGAATATTGCACGCCAACGGAAACCATTTGTACAGGAGTCGGTTTTTGACTTGGTTCTGTCTCAAATAAATCGCTTGATTGCTTGCAATCTTCTTTGCTGAACAAATCACTGGATTGTTGGCCATTTTCAACGGCATTGCTGGTATTTTTCAACGAATCTGAGTTTGTATTTTGATTGTATTCAAGTCCTAGGTACATTGGCATCAAATCACCAACAAAAACACTCGGCGAAGGTACACGAATGGTCGGTGAAGGTAATCGTTTTGGTGTTTTTTTCTGACTTTTTGCCGGCTCTGTGTTTGTGACATTGGTTGATGCTTTCTTTGTATTGGCCGCTTTCATTCGCTGTGAATTGGTTGTCCTTCTCGGTGGAATCGGCACATTTTTCTGTGATTTACTCCTGGTCGGTGTTTTTGGTTTGCTGTTTACTGTTTTTGCTCGAGTTTTCTGAACCATTTTTGGTGAGCTCACATTTTTTCGACCTCTCGTTCCGCGTGCCATTGCGTCGTTTCTGTCACTGTGTAACACAATGGTGATTGGCATTGGTGCCGTAAAACCCGATAACTCACTGTCTCGCAATAGTGGCAAAGTTCACCGTTAGGCTTTTCATCGGCAACCGTACACTTCAATCACCATTCAACTCGGTGCAGTATCGCATCGACGCCACACTCTTTCACATTACTACTAAACGTTCGCCGATAATACAGAGAGAGAGAGACAGACAGACAGACAAACATTCGAATGAAAATGCTCGATTTGTGTGTTTGAATTTATTTTGTATATTTTGTTTAAAATAAATAAATAGCCTGATTGGACTACGTAATACAATTATGATAGTTATCGTGAAACGTTACACCAATAGTTGTTTGTTTGTTCATTTATAGAATATTACCATTTTCTTTCATTTTCTTTTAACTAAAAACGACTTAATTTTTAAAAATCAATTGAATCATTCGAATTGTTCATATTATTTTGTGTTCATCTCGCCGACAACTCATCTCTTGAATTGTGAATTAATACAATATGCTAAAAATGTGTGTTGTTTTTTTCTTCTTCTTCGTATCAGTTTTGGTTTAAGTTTTGTAGCAATTTTTTTTTCTCTTCTTCATCTTTTTCATCTTCTTCAATCTCTTCCCATTCTTCTTGTTCATGTCTTCAAGCTGTATGCATTGAAGTTGTTCTTCTTTTGTTGGTTGTTTTTTTGTTTGATTCTTTTGTATGCACAAATGTGTGTTTTTGTGTGTAAGTTTGATTTAGGTGAATGCTGCAATCATGTTATAGAGTTGCATGAGCACTTGAATATGAGCTGGTAAGCATGAGATTCGATCATTTGTATTGGGATCGATGGCGAGCCATGATAGGAAATTGTAGCTCTCCAGAATGTATCGCATTGTGTCGGCTGTATAAGGTGAGTCAAGCGGATGAATGCCCGCGTGTGAGAATCGTTGATTGATGTACTCATTCGAATTTTGATGGATCAACGGGCTGTGAATGTGCAGCGAACTCTTCAAAAATACCGGATTTACATTTTCCAATTGCGGGCAATTCACCCAAAACCACGGTGGCATTCGATTAATTGGAGCCGTTGAAACCATAAATCCAATTGCCAACGGTTGTGGCATCATTTGGCCAAACTGAGAAACGAACAAGGAACAATTAGTTTACATTCAATTTAGCATATTGAATACAATGATTGAATCAAAGTCATTCAAAAGCGCTCATTATGACACAGTCTACTTACTTCATCGGATGTATTATGCAATTGCATTTGCATATTGCCAGTATCACAGTCTGATTCGAGTTTAACTTGGTGGCCGAGGCCGCCCATATTCACCGACAGCATTAAATTGGAATTGGGCTTTTGATCATGATCTTGTTTTACTTGGGCCATTTCCACTTTTTGATGCAACAGCTGATGCTCATCGTTTGGATTCACATTTTCCAATTTTACATCAAGTGTTGGATCATCTTGTGGATTGTCCGTTGACAGTTGAATCTCATCGGTGAAATGGTCTAAAAGAGAGAGAGAGAGAGAGAGAGAGGGATGGGGTAATTCATTAGTACACTTGGCTTCTGTAATTTTCAAACATTCGATTCAACTTACTTTCCCAATCGTTGCTCAGAAAATCTTCGATGTTGTTCATATTAACATCATCCATTCCATCCATATTCAAGTCGATGCCTTCGATTCCGTCCATGCTATCGATACCATTCAAATTATCGATTCCGTTCATACTGTCGATTCCATTTAAGCTATAATTTGGAACAAATGGGAGATCATACATTTGATTTATACATTTGAATTTATTCGACAAATCATGGAAAAAAGGAGATTTTTCGTTGAGACAGTCAGTTTTTTCCCTATAAATGTGAAATTTGAACTCACCCGCTCAATCCGTTGATGTTGTTAACACCAGCCAAATTGTTCATGTTATTCATATTGTTCAATACATTCAAAGCATTCATTCCGGCATTGTTCATATTCATATTCATAGCGGTGTTCATGTTCATGCCGTTGATATTGTTCAATCCGCCGATTCCATTGATGTTATTCATGGAATTCATGCCATTCAATGACCCCATATTATTGATCGAAGTCATATTATTTATGCCACCCAATGCATTTATGCTACCCATGCCCTGTGAACTGTTTCCGAAACTAACGAATAGCTCTTCTTCATTGAAATCGGTTATGTGATGCTCTGGATAGGTTTGAACCGCCTGATAAAAATCGAAACAAAGTTGTGTCAATTTTGTTTTCTCAAAAAAAAAAAATGATTGTTTTGAAATTTAAATCACAAACAACCTATTCTATTCAAAAATCCCTATCAATTAGAATCAAAAACTGTTGCTTTTAACAAAATATTGTTAGTTAAAAAACAAAAACCGTCCTCACCTGTGCGGCAGCGTTGATTGGCAGCACCAGAATGTGCGTGCATGATAGATCGCTGGGTGTTGAAAGTGTGGATTGCATAGCAATTTGGCTAAAGCGTTCGTCGGGTGTGATCTGATCGGATAGAATGCGGAAACAGGTGTCTGGTTCAAGTGTAAGCAAGCATGCACTCACGATGCTTGGGCAACTGTGCAAATACATCATCGAACATTGATCGCACACATCTTTCAGTTGTTTGGAAATTTTCACCAGGCTCGATTTGCACAGCAGCCAACTCCATGCTTTCAGTTCGCCATGGCCCATTCGTCCAACGCGACCGATAACAATGCGCCATTGCTGTGATGTTTGCGAAATAATGCCAATGATGAAATCCATGAGTTTTTGCAAACTTTGACGACGAATCGAATCGGCTCGATTGTTTGGATTTTGATCGGAATTCACGACTTCAATGTTGATGGTAATTGTCTCAAGCAATTCACCACGTTCATCGGTTGCAACGGCCAACAACCATTTCTGATCCTCGGACAGACAGTAATTGCAGTACAATACCGATGATGGTGTATCAACGGTGCTCGCACCAAACACTTCGCTGCTTTCAATGGTTTCTTCACGGCCCGACAGAATGTACGGTGGTGCATACAATTTGTACGGTGTACGATTGTTTTGATCCTTATTTTTGATGACCATTTGTAGATTGGCTGCAGTGCCAAAGCCGGTAAGAACTTTGGCAGTTACGTCATGCGTTAAATTACGGCGACACTGCGAGAAAATGCTCATTGCCAAGCAACGCATTTGATCGGCAGCTCGTAGTAAATCACAGTTTTGGCCCATTTCCAAGATGCTTTCCATCGAAAGAATCTGCAGTTTAATGTTGTTACGAATGGAATCGGGAACGGCGTTCAGAATTTTCGAATAGCTTCGCAGGAGTGCAATGCACGAAATGCGTTGCAAATCCTCGGATTCATGACCAAACGACAGTGGATTCAGCACATAAATTATAATGCACGGTGGAATTTCATCGCTGGCATCATTTTGATTTGACAATACGATTGGTTCGCTTGGTGTGGCGGCAGCGGGCTGTGGCGTTTGTGCATTATTGTATGATGCATTTGAATCACATTCATTTTCAAATGATGAATTTTGCTCTTTATTCTCGCCGCCACTGTACGAAAATTCGGGTGTGTCCGGCTGAAACATTGGGCTCGACATCGATTTATCTTTGTAAACGTCTTTGATATTGAAACCTTCGGGTTCGGGATCCAAAATACTCTTGTCCGATGAAATGTTCGTGAGATACGGCACCAGATGCTGTTGACACGTTTGTACATACGATTTGATCATTTCAATCGTTTTATTATCCTCGAACAGTGCATACAAATCTTCGAATTCGTCATTAACGATTTCGGTTTGGCTTTTGCTTGACCGCAGAATGCCATCACAGCCTTTTATTGGACAATGTCTGCCCAATTTACACATTTCATACATGGTGCTTAACTCTTTGAAAAATTGCTTCGCCTCATCGACAATGTAATCATTGTCCGGTGTGACAACAATGTAGGCAATGTCTCGTGTGTATGAGTACGGTTCTAACATCAATTGATCCCAATATTGAATGGCAAACGGTGACACGGATAACCATTCTTTTTCGTGTCCAACGATAATCGATGGGATTGGTTGTGGTTCACATTGGCCGGATTGTGTGGATGCCAAACGATGGAATTGACGCCATGTCAACGGGCCCTGTATAACATACGGAGCTTCACACATTCGTCCCAGATATTTCTTATTGAACGTACCCTGTAGCACTGGCATCAACATTTGCATGAATTTTAGCACATCTTTGTTATTTGTCGGCGCACTTGCTTTGATGTACGGCCACTTGTGCACATTCGTATAGGAGTCATTCGATTTCATGATGACATTATTTTTACGTGATTTCGCTTGACTTTCCAGTTTGCTGTTGTCCAACGCCAATCGGATAATATCCTGTGCATCACAGTATTCAACCACATTTATGAATGCATCTTCGAAACTGTAGTAGCTCGCATTGTTCACAAAACGGATCGATCGTTGCACGGAATTTGTGGAATTTTGTACGCATGTACATTGCTCCTGAATGTAATCCATAATCACCTGTGAGATTGAACCGCAAATTTTCTCCATGCCAAATAGAAAATCATCGCTACTGGCCGCACTTTTCATTAGCAACGTTCGCTTTTCGCGTGCCTTTTGCTCTTGCGGATCTTCGGCAATGCCAGTTATTTCGTTTTCATCATCGAAAAATAGACCCGCCTTATGCGATAGTCTACGATTTACTATTGCACTGTAGCCACATGTACAATGAATTGGATCGGTGTCTAGGTAGCCCATCAGGTGAGCATTTTTAACACGCATATTACGATCATTCTCCGTCTCGAACTGGCCAATCGGATTCAAAGTTAGCGCCATATCTGGCACATATTCGGAATAACTATGACCATTCGATGGCAAATAACGTCCCGAATCCAAACCACGGATATTACCAAACGTTCCATCACCGGCCGTGTGACACACGCACAACGAACAACTATTGAAATTGTGATCGCGGAACACGTTCAACGATGTATCGTACAACAACAAATTCAAAACTAATGCATTCGTCTCGGGCAAACGTTGCACCGGCTGTGCTATATTTTCAAGGTAGCTCTCTGCAAATATTGAAAAATTGATTGTTCGTGTTAGATATGAATGAAAAATAGCAATGATTCAAAATCAAATGTTTTTTTGTTTAAAAGTGTGCTCAGAGGAGTGGAAATTATACACTTAACAAACGGAAACATCCCTGAACAATATTTAGAGGCTTGTGAATCAGTACGAAAAACGAACGTTGCCTTACCATTTTTATTATAATAAGATGACATCGACATGGCTGGACTGGAAGCAGTGCAACCATTTTGTAGGGGTGGTAAAATTGATGCACTGCATGGCCCATTGGCACATTCATCGCACGATGAATTATCTGAATCTTCTAGATCGGAGTCATCGGAATCTGAATCGCTTGAACTGTATGCCATTTGTTGTCCACCTTCGAGCATCGACGTTGCACAGCTATCAAATGGAAATGACTCCGTGGCTGAATCGAATGGAGCCACTTGCAAGCTATTTGTCATCTCAATGTTTCGCTGGTATTTATGGAATTTGCGAATATTCACCTCTTCAATGTACACTTCGCTATCGTAGTCCAAATTGATGTTAACCTTAACAACTTTCGTTGGTTTTTCATTGTCAAATTCCTCTACGCTACTGCTACTCTTATCCAAATTGGTGTTATTCGCTGTTTGACCATTACCATCTTCTCGCTGCATCACATTATCACCACCGACGCCACCGGTCGTTTCCGACTTCACATTATTCTTCTGATACGATTCGGATTTCACCGTATTGAATCGGCCGGAATCATTGCTGTTATCGTCACTATTTCCATTGTTGTCATACAATGAACACTCCTCACCCTGGCCGCTCTTGTCGGATTTTCGTGATTTTTGCCCTTTGTCGCCTTTCTTCGATTTGTCATGTGCTTTTTTGCCCGATTTCTTCTTATCACTATCACTATCAGTGTCACTTTCGCTTTCATTCCGGATTTCGGTGTCACTGATTGGCTCTTCTTTGATATGCATATTCCGAATTTCATATTTGCCCAACGTACCCGGACCACTCTTTGAATCGCCCTCCCTTTTAATCGCATAATCGGGTCCAGTTATCGGTCGCTTTAATTTATTGCCATCGGTTTTGTTCGCCGTTGGCCCCGATGCCGCATTCCGATGTTTACTTTTGCTCTTGCTCTTACTGAAACTCAAGCCACCCTTCCCATTTGAATTGCCACCGCATTTGCTCTTTTTATTGATCGATTTGGAATTGTTTGAATTCTCCCACGATGGCCGATAGATGAAATTGTGTTGTAAATAAGCTTGAGTTGGTGTTATATTCGTTAGCGGTGCATATTTGGACGAAATAAATAGTCGCGACGTTGATGAGGCAGACGATGACAAATTGTATGTCCAATCCTATGAAATCAATTCAGTTTTTTTTTTGGTTTGTAATTGGCAAATGGAAAAGAAAAACGCATAGAATTAGCTATTAACTTACCTGCATCGATCCTTCATTTGAATTGTCCGAACACTCTGGATCGACAGCGCCACCGAGATCCGATAATAGTGACGGATTTCGAGCACCTCCAAAATAAATATCGGAGAAATTTGTTGGACTGCACAAAATATCCGGACTGTTCAAATCGTAGTCAGATAAATTCGAATTCTGTTGATCATAGAAATGAATTGAGGGTTTTTAGCCATTTAATGTTTTAATCGGACAAGTATGTCCACCGTAATTAACCGAGTATGGTCGACTTAATGATATATTGATATAAAAGAACAAATTGACAATAAAAGACGAAATTTTTTACTCACCGATCCACTGTCATTGTAATAATCTTGATCGACATCTTCGTCAGATGTATGAAGACCGTCTGAAACCGATTTACTTTCAACACTGTTTGGTGGATTGTTTTTAAAGTCGGCCAATCGTACATTTTGTTTCGAGTACAATTCTTGTAGTTCCTTGAAAATGGCTCGGGATGTGAACCGTTCGCCTGGCTTAAACCGTTTGACCGGATGGTTCATCCAAGCTTCCCACGTTGAAAAATCGTACAATGATTGTGGCGATTCACCGCATTCGGCGATTATGTCATGGTTGCGAACACTCAAGCTGGGCCGTTTCATCAGCGACGCAAGCGTTTCCAAATTCAGCATTTTTCGTTTAACCAACTGCATGCTGTTGCTGTAAAATGTTCGATGTGGACGTTTCGTTGGTTTCAATATCCGTTTTCGGTTTGAACAATCTCTTGCCTTTTTGCTAGATGAAGATGGATTGGTTGATACACTCGCATTTTCATTATTCTTCATATTGTCCGTATCGTTTGATTTACTTTTATCGGTTTTGCTACTTGATTTGCTGGACTTTTTCGACGATTCAACTTTTGCGTGCTTCGATTTTTTGTTGCTTTTCGACGATCGGCTGCTACTACTGGATGCCGATTTATTTGCACTCGCATCACCACCGTCTGAACTCTTGGATTTCTTTGCGCTGTCACTGCCCGTTTTTGATGTACTGTATTTCTTTTCAACACCCAGTGTGGCCGGTATCACGTCAATGTCATCGTGACCGGAGCTTTGTGTAATCTGTTCCGGCAAGAATTCGGTGGGATTTTCGATTTTGATTTCAATCTCACGCGTCAAGTCAGACGGTCGACTCTTTATCAAATCAATCGTACTCAAACTGTCTTTGAATGCGACGCCAGTATCAATGGATTTGGAATCTTCCAAGCCTAACGAATGCTTTTCACTTGCTGACGCTGTGCTACCGTCAATGCAATGCGCTACACTCAAATGCTCCCTTACCGGACTGATGTATGGTGTACCGGTTTTGTTGAAACGATCATCATTCCGTGTGTTTTCCGTATTCGCACTGCTGGCCGGACTATTGCCACGCTTTAGCTCACTTCCCGACGGACTCGGCGATTTGATTGAATCCATTATTTGCGACAAACTTTCTGAATCCAAATCTATACCAGATATACTGGTCGATGTTGTCGGCAACATCTGACCCAAAACGGTGTCATCTTTACCTTTGGTTGGATCGCTAATTAAAATATCTATAGGGCAAGAGAAAATTTCAATATTGAAAATCAATCCAAGAAAAAGCAAATATGTTCAAGAAATTTACCTAAAATGCCACTTTGATTTGAATCCTGCATGCTGTGATCGTCTAAAAAATTCAGTGAAAATACCATTTCGTCGTCGGTCTTTTGCGCTGTTTCACCCTTTTCCTGGTTGCCACCATTGTTTTTCGTACCATCCGACCCATCACCACCATCATTTTTACTGATTACATTCAAGGAACCAAATTCGATCTTTGTGTTTGCCGATTCGTCGGCGCCAAAGCTATCACTTTTCTTGCCGGCATCAGTGCCACCGCCATCTACATTGCCAGAGCCATCCGATTTGTCTTTGTTGTGGTTATCCGTAGAAAATGGACTTTTGCCTGTTTTGTCACCGATCACCGATTCACAGGTCAAATTCGAATCTTGTGATTCGAGTAGTGTTTTGCCAAGCAATTCACCCGGCTCCATAATATCTTTGTCGGTGATTCGTGAATTGTCCAGTGGTTCGGGTTTGCCAATGCTTGGCGAACTTTCGTTTCGTTTATTGTCAGTGCTGTCGCGATTATCGTTGCTGTTCGTGTCATTGTTGTCGCTCAGATTCGAGTAATCGGCTGAGATGAGTGTGTTTAGGCTAATTGGTGCTGGACTTATGTAATTGGCAATGCTATCAAAGTTTTCATTATTCCGTATTGAAATGTTTTCGGCTTTGCGAGCGGTAATACTATCCGGTTTGATGTCATACTCATCATCGGAAATATTATCCGTGTGCAAATCTGACATTGCATTATCATCTTCAACACTCTTCGAACCGATCGCACTGTCCAGGCTCAGGCCAATGCACGACGAAACACTCTTGAGCTTTGTGTCTGAACCGCTCGGTGACGTTTTCAATTGACCATCGTGGCCATCACGTTGGCCAGCCGCACTTGATCCATCCAAACCCTTTGAACCACCACCACTACCACCACATTCCCCACGCATTAGGCTAAATGTATTTGAACATTTCAAATCTTTTTCACTACTATTCGAATCGCTTGTATCACTAGTGTTTAGATCGTCTAAAAAGTTTGTCATTGAATACGGCAATTGGTCGTTGTTGCTATTTTTCATATCGGATTTGGTGTTGCCATCAATATTGGCCGCATCCGATTTTCTAGGAACATCATTTGATTTATTTGTTAAACGTGCTACAAAATCATGGGAATTACTGCTTTTTGCGCTATCATTCGATGAATCGTCCACGTCATCGGCAAAATCGCCAACATCCGAATCACTAATATTGCTATGGTTGTCATTGGCTAAATCGGAGCCCAACATACTACTATCATTTGGCATATTATCAGTTCGATTGGGGTCGTCAGTGCGTTGCATGCCAAACGATGATCGTCCACCATCGATACCTTCACCGATGCATCCGCCTAATTTATCACTAGTTTTTGGGCTCTGATGTGTACCATCACCGCCTTTCTTATTCTCACCACCTAACTTGGTTGGACCAGTCAGAATCTCTGCATCAGCCGACAGAATCTTTTCCAAATTCGGAACGGTGCATTTTGATCCGTTGCCATTATTATCATCCTCGTTCAAATTCGACTTTTTACTCTTTCCATCGGTATTTTTATTTGGCGAATGCTTCTTTTGCTCAACGTCCGACGCATCATCCTCTTCTTCTTCGTTTTCCGAATTTTCAGTGCTATTCGAAGGCGAAAAAAAAAACAATTATTATTCACATTACTTCATTGCACCACAAATTTCCACTCACCTTTCGTCATCGTCTGAATCATCCGAATCATCGGAATCATCATCGGTGTCATCACTATCACTGTCGCTGCTTTCGTTGAGATTTTTCTCCTCTTTACGATCATGTTCCGATTTTTTATGGTGATCATTCGATTCAAATGACATTTTTGTTTCGTTCTCGTTCAGTTCACTCTCACCTTCACCAAATATATTCTCCAATGCGCTATTCAAAAAATTGCTATCATTCAATGGATTACCCTCCAGCAAATCCATATCGGCCGATAGATGCTCCGTTTTGATGCTAATGTCTAACGCATTTGTGATGTTTGCATTGTCAATTGCCGCTGTATCGGATGTTGGTAAGCCTAAACTTTTGTCGGGATCAGTCTTCATTTGGAGGAGCTTTTCTTTAATTTCATCGTCGCTTATCGATTTACCACTCTCCTTGACACAATCACCCGGTGATATTTGTTCGCCGGGATTTACTTTATCGATTATACTATCGGGCGATGGATTTGGCGTCAATGTGTTATTCTGTGGCTGATCGGTTAACACAAACGGTGAATGTGTATCATCGTAGTCACTGGACGAATTTAAAAAGTTTTGCAGCTCATACTGTGACGACAGTTGATTTGGTGATGGTATCGGAAGTGCTTGCTGCAAATAAAAAGTAAACCGTAAAAATGTGAATTCACGTGGAAATTTAATGCTTGGAAAAACCAAACTCAACTTACCGATTCGTATTCGGGTGGCGAAACCGATGGTGGATACGGAAAATACGGTGATAATTCCGGGCTGGATGGTGTGCCCATGGATGTAATAGCCGATGATATATCGGCCATTAGCTGATTGCTTTGGCTCAGGCCACAATTCGTTGGTTTGTCGGGGTTTTTTCGTCTAGAAAATCAAAAAGGAGTCTCAATAAATGGTATGAATTTCTTGAGAGAAAACTAAATTGAATATCATATCAATATGTCCATTTAACTTACATCGTGCAATTACAAACGGCTTTACTTGTCGGATGTTCAAAGTACGCTTCTTTTTCGTTGGTGGTGTTATCCGTGCTATTTTCACTTTCCTGCTGATGTGTTGTTAGAATTTGTGAACTAATTACGCATTCCTGCCAAACGCGTTCACCGATTATGTTCTCAACACCGAATGGCGTTTGAATTTGACTCTCATTTTCGATTTCGTTCATGTCATCCTGTTGGCACATTTTCGGTATCGAACTATGCGAAAAGTCTTCATCGTCGATGTCCGTCACCAGCACATATTTGGCTGGATAACACATTTTAACACCGCCGGCGATTACTTCAACTACGGGTGGATAATGGTATTCAGTCTTGCGGAGCAATGGATAAAAAATTGACCATTCTTTTAAGGTTTTCTTTGTAATTGGATCCGATGGTTTGTAGTATTTGCCGGTGAGTGTGCCGGCCAAACCGTATGGCGCCAATATCACCGGATGCTGATTGAAATCACTATTCAATGCCGCCTCTTTGACATGGTCCAATGTCAGACGCCGAACATTCGGATGATTACGTAAATCAATCGATGTACAAACCGTACTCTCGCCATGCACAAAGAATCCAAACGAAAATGACATATGATGATAGCTGAAAATACGATCGCAAAGAAATCGCCCGATTAGTTTCACAAACATGAATTCACGCACAATAATCGATTAATGCGATCTATAGTAGGGGATTGTTCAAAAAAGAACGAAGACCATCACGTGCTCTTGGCGCAATGATCCCTGAGAAATTTTCGAGATTTTTTTTTCTCTAGGAATTCGCGTTCACTCAAAGCAACATCAATCTGCCGAATGTGCTTTTAAACAAGATCGAATTCCGTACACCAAGAATAAATAGAAGTCGATCGACTTTTCATTGAAAGAAGAAAAAAAAACTGCATATTTACCCATTTTCGATGGAACAATTTTGCCTCGTGCATGGCTGCACAAACCATTTGCCTAAACGCATCACACCCCTCGACAACAGACATCTGAAATGTGAAGAACAGAGAGAAACAGAGAAAAACATCAATCAATCAGCATTGCAAATGAGTTTATTGACCATTTCAGAAGCCAGACAGTGCTACATACCGTTCGATTAAATTGTGTAGCGCTTTGAATAATAGAGATCGAGTCTCGTAACTAATTCCACTTTCATAGGAGCCTTCGGCTATCTCAACAGTTGGTTTCATTAGCTCAGGTACAAGCAATTCATTGAGGTCGGGCTCCTCCTTGTACCAAAATATCCACAGCTCTTTGGATGTTTTCAGTGACAACGGTGGAAATGTCACGGAATTTTGTGCGCGTGCATCATATAAATTATTTGGATTGAATGTGTCGACTTTTTTGGATGAGATGCGTCGCCAAACGCATAAAATATCTTCGCGTAAGCATCGTGCATACGAACGCAGAATGGGATCTTTGAGCGGTTCATTTATGGGGTCGACGAACACAAATTTCCGCCACCGAATGCCGCATAAGTCAGTCTATACAATAGAGAGAAGGAGAGAGAAAGAAAAAAACGAGCAAGAGCATGAACAAGCGAATAAAACACATTAACAATGGTGAAATCACATTAGTTTTTCTTTTTTTCCTTCGAAAGATACAATGAGAAAAATCTGATGATAAAAAAAACGAGCCAGCGATGCAAACAATCGAAATGAACGTGTTTGTACATGTATGTACGACGAAGTGTGTAGAAAAACGCTTCGATGTGCTACGGTGAATTTAAATTAAATAGAAGAAGAAGAGGAGGCATACTAAAAAAAAAGAGCCAAAAACAAACAAACAAACAACAAAACGAACAAATTAAATGAAGAGAGGCGCTTTGGCAGAAAATTTACAAAAAAAAATGTTGTTGTGTGTTTGTGTCTGATCTGTTTACGATGCGGCGGCAATGGTATTTGTAATTCGTATAGAAGAGCATATGTTGCTTGACACACATTCACATTCATATTTTTCTCTCTTGCACTTAATGAATGGGACACGGATGGCACCAATACACTAAGCCATATTACACACTCTCTTTCTGTCGCGCCTCTCACAGAACAAAAAAACGCACAACCAACACACACAGAATAACAAAATTAAGAGCAGCAACGGAGAGTACAGCAAAAACATGTTTGATTCGGATATGTATGTAAAATAATATCTACATAACTACGCGTATCACGAAAATAGCCGTCCATTTTTCTTTTCTCTTTTTTTTTCTTCTAAAGAGTATGTTCTTTCTTTTTTTTTCACGAATTGAGAGAGGTAAACGACTTTCAAATGCAATAAGCACAAACAAATCAATAACAACAACAGCCAAATGAATGAATGAATCGTATCGAATCGATCACTAGCTCTTTCTCTCGTCAAGAATTTTTGTCACACGATTTGTTCACACGGCCGTATACATTGCGCTTTTAATACACACCAAACACACGAAAAAAAAAACACAGAACAAAACAACAACAAATGCACAAAACTGATCCACAATCGTTTGAAGCGAGCCAGTGAAAGAATTTGGACGAAGAAAAAAAACTGAAATGAATCGAGAAATAATCATCAAATGTTTTACCAATGCAAAGAAGTTCGTATGACAATCTTCCAAGCTGCCACTGTTTGATATCACTGGAGGATTATTCATCTTCGATCGGATGTTAAAATTGGAAAAATCCTGTTTAATTCCGATGAATTGATGTCAATTCCCACAGTTTGCACGCTGTGTGTTTTCTTTTTCCTCGGTTGTTTGGCTCTCTCATTCACTTTGTATATGCACATATATGGAGAGAGAGACACCGTGTATATATGTCAAGTATTTTTCCCTTGATTTTTTTTTATTTGTGTCGCTCGAAATTATTGTACACTAGCAGGACTGGAATTATTTATAATGATACATAATTGTGGGGGGATATTATCTCCTTTTTTTGTCGTTTTATTTTTATTTTTATTTTATATTTTTTTTATTTTTATTTTTGTTTTGTTTGGTGAGCTGAAATGAAATTGGCTGTGCTCCTTTTTTTTGTTGGCTTAAATAATTTTCTACACGTATTCACTCATTTTGGCAACCGTAACCAATGTGTTGTGCCAATTGAACGATGATTTTTTTTTTCTTCTTTCATTTGTGTTACAAAAAAAAAATTATCTAAAACAAACACACTAAACACCTTTAATGGCGATTCTACAAATGGCGGCCATTGAATTTTAAGCTGTACAAATCATTTCAATGATTTGTATTGCATTGTTAAAAGGCAGTACACAATACGTATGAACACAGCAGCAGCAGCAGCAGCAGCAGCAGTAGCAGCAGTGTGTGTGCATATACCGTATACATATACGAAAATACAGACGAAATGTCATGCGTGTGTAGACAAAACGGTTTGACGTTTACAATTGAAGTCGTTCCGTCCAATCACACACATACACTCACACACACACACATCAAATCACTGAGTCGTTTACCAAAATATCGCATACAATCACAGTTAAACACCAAACGATGCCATCAAATTTTGAAAACAAAATTATCCTTTTTTTAAATTAATTCACTAAGAAAAAACTGCGTAATTCACTTCGATGAGGCATCGATAAAGAAAATATCCGTTCGGTCCACTATTAATTAATCAATGCAACATTGTTGACTGAAGTTGGCCAATCTGTCAGTACAACGTACAGAATTCATTCATACGCAGTTCAATGTTCTCAAGTACTTGGTATGTTCAGCCAGCGAGGGTTTGGAGAATTCGGAGACTTTTTCCGATTGTCGCGACAATGAATCACTTACAGGTGCTTATTTTGCTTAGATTTTCAAGCAACAGACTAGTCTTCTTACTTCATACGGCAATCCGTCTTACTCCCTTTCTTTCGAAATGTCACTCTTTTGAATCCCGATTCCACTCACAGATTCCATGTAAACATATAATTTTCATGCCATTTGTTTTCACCTCTTTTTAATTCAATCAATGTGAATTCGCTGTTTTCCTCACATGAATTTCATTCAACCTTTATTTATCATCTCAATAATGAATGTCGAACAATTAATTTCATTGAAAAATCCAATCATTCATACAGAATTTGTTGTAATTTTTTTTTATATTTCGAAATGAAAGTCTAAATTAAAATTGCATGCATATTTTAATGCTGATATATGGTCCAGTATGTTCTGATTACATCAACATTTCGAACAATAATCGAAAAAAATGTTCCGTTTTTCGATAAAAATGAAGCGAAAATAACGTGGAATGTAATTTATACCCTGTGCTTACTTACTTATTTTTATCAATCCGATTGTTTATGTCACAAAAATATAAACATTCTTCAACGGAATTCCGCATTCATCCGAATAATTTGAATCAACCGCTTCGGTCGTCAAATTTCGAAAATACTGTATTGCGTCAAATTCGAATACAAGTTGTTCGAAAAACCGTCGTCCACCAATCAGAAGCGTAAACGAAACGAATTTCGAAATGATAACCAATCCAAGACAGCCAACACCAATAAGTCTAATTTTTCTCTGCTTTGTATTTGATTTGATGCATACAGAAGTCTCGATATTGTGTGTGCCGGCATTAACTCTTCATTCTCATTTCACAATACGAACTACGAGCAGCATTCAACAGAAGCGAGAAAAAAAACCTTTTATTCCAGAGCCACGTCTCAAGTGAATAAGTTTGAATCATTCGCTGAATTCGTTTTGGTGGAAAAAATAGAACGAATTTCATTAGTTTTAGTTTGATTTGTTTTTTTTTTTATGTAGAAAATTTGTTATAAACGATCGTTAATAGAAAAGGAAAATTGTGTAAATCAAAAGAAACAAAAGAAAAAAAATGTTATTTAAATCGGCATTTGTGTTTGTGACGCTTTTTGCGTTCTCATTAGCCAGCGACGTTTTAGATCTCAGCGATGATGATTTCAACACAAGAGTTGCTGAAACTGAAACAACATTAGTTATGTTCTATGCACCATGGTAAGTATATTTGATTTCGATTCAGGTGATGATGACGAAAAACAAATGAATCATTTTATTTTTTCTGAAAATTGGTTTGTTTTTTTTTTGTTCGTAGCCATTTTTTTTTCTTGATGCGGAAATTTCCGCTTTGACACTCTATTTCGTTCACATGATTGTTCATATAGTTTAAATAGTACCGTAATTGGATTAAATAAATGCGTTATGTGTTTGAGGGGGGCTATACTAATGGAAAACATTTTTGTGACTTGTCATTGTTTCTATCGAAAAAAAAAACAGGTGCGGTCATTGTAAACGTTTGAAACCCGAATATGCTCATGCCTCCGAATTGTTACGTGGCTCCGATCCACCAATCGCATTGGCACAAATCGATTGTACTGAAGCTGGCAAGGAAACGTGTAACAAATTCTCAGTCAGTGGTTATCCAACATTGAAAATCTTCAAGAACGGAGAATTCTCGACCGAATACAACGGACCGAGAGAAGCAGGTATGTGTCAGTTAAAAGAATTGCATACGCGTCATTTGCATACGACAGCATAAACAATTGCCGAGACAGAGAGAGAGAGAGAGAAAGAGACGGAGAAAGTGAATCATGAAATCGAATTATTGTGTCGGAGACATTTCTCTAACTCTATTTCGAATGGTTGGCAAAAATTCCTGAAGAATTTTTCGTTTGTTTATTTTTTTCAATTCGATTTACCAACGGTGAATTTTTCAATTGTATTTAGCCGGTATTGTTAAGTACATGCGCGCACAAACTGGTCCAGCCTCAAAAGAATTGAACTCCCTGGAAGAATTGGAGAAATACTTACAAGCCCAAGAATCCACACTCATTGGATTCTTCGAAGGCGACAGCTCATTGAAATCAACATTCCAGAAATATGCCGACAAATATCGTGAGAAACAACGTTTCGGTCACACATCAGCCGCCGATGCATTGAAGAAATACGGTGTTACCGATGGCATCATTTTGTTCCGTGCTCCACAATACGCCAATAAATTCGAAGAGAACCAAGTCAAATTTGAGGGTTCAGGCATCGAAGAATTGACCACATTCGTTAAGGGCAACTTCCATGGTTTGGTTGGACATCGTACACGTGACAATGCCGCCGAATTCAAACCACCATTTGTCATTGCTTACTATGCCGTTGACTACGCTAAGAATCCAAAGGGAACCAACTACTGGCGCAATCGTATCTTGAAGGTTGTCAAACCATACAAAGGTCAATACTCGTTCGCCATCAGCAGCAAAGATGAATTCCAACACGAACTCAACGAATACGGTTACGATTATACCGGTGACAAGCCAGTCGTTTTGGCACGCGACGAACGCAACCAGAAATTCATTATGAAAGACGAATTCTCGTAAGTTTAACCAAAATATACCGCCTACACGGAATTCAATGTTTGGTTTTGGCTAATGTTTTTTTTTCTCTTTGTTCTATATCTTCTCTGATAGAATTGAAAACTTGCAAGCATTCTTGGATGATTTGGAAGGTGGCAAACTTGAACCATACCTTAAATCAGAACCAGTCCCAGAGGACAACAATGGACCAGTTAAGATTGCTGTTGCCAAGAACTTTGAAGATCTCATCACCAACAACGGCAAAGACACACTCATCGAATTCTATGCTCCATGGTATGTATGCCTGATTCGGAATGAATTTTTGAGATTTTCGGTTGTTCGATTTTTGTTTGATTAAATTCCATCCATCTAATTCACTATAATTTTTTTTTGCCTAATACAGGTGCGGACACTGCAAGAAATTGGTTCCAGTGTACGATGAGCTCGGTGAAAAGTTGGCCGATGAAGATGTTGTTATCGCTAAATTTGATGCCACCGCCAATGATGTGCCACCAGAGTTCGAGGTTCGCGGTTTCCCAACTCTCTTCTGGTTGCCAAAAGACTCGAAATCAAAACCAGTGAAATATGAAGGTGGCCGTGAAGTGGACGACTTCCTTAACTACATTGCCAAGCATGCCACCGAAGAATTGAAGGGCTTCAACCGTGCCGGTAAACCCAAGAAACAAGAATTGTAAATTTAGTTATAAAAAAAATAAAACTCAACAAATAAAATGAAAATGATAAAGAAATGAAATTTAAAAAAAAAACACACACACACACATACCGTGAAGAACAAGAAGAATGAGCTAAGAAAAAGAAAAAAAAAAGTTTAAAATACACTTAACTTAATTATCAATTTGTTTTGTAAGGAAATCTTTTTTTTTAAAGCATTTTAAAATGGAAATGAGAAGAAGCAAACTGACACATAGTGGATAATAATGTTGTAATTATTCCAGAAATAAGTTGATAATAAATAAAAGAGAGTCGCTACAATACAAATACATTCGAAAACAAAAACGAAACGAAACGCAGCAGATTCATTTTGAAGTAAAGAAGAACGAAAAGAGGACAGATAAAAAAGCCACCATATCGATCGTTCATATTGAATATGGAAACACAAAATTTTTCATTGGCCACCAACGCACAACGAAATAAAATTTTCAATTTACGCCTTGATACTTGCACTTGATTTAGATGTTTTTGTCCAAGGCACCTAAATGTCATTTCTTTTTAAATAAAAAGGAGTATGTTGTGCTGTGATTTGAACATGTTTCGTGTTTCTTTTATTATATTTGTGTTTTTTTTTTCATTCAAATCTATGTCTGATGTCATCGTTATCGCTTAGACAACTAATAAAGTTTGAGTGATAATGAAACAATTTGTCGTCACGGGCGATAATCGAGATCGTCTATGGGTTTTGGTGAGCTCGGCCGATCCGATGGTTTAACATAAGAGGCTTCCGGTAAATCTTTGTAGTTACTGATCAATTGACGATCTTTCAGAAAATCTTTGGGAAATTTCTTCAAAAAGTATGTCCAGCACACATAATCGTTCCTATATCAAAGGTGGGACAAATTGAAGTACAATATGAATAACGAATTTGCACGAAACAAAAAAAAATCAATTGTTTACCCATCATTGCCGTCAATGGTGATTTGTTGCCGTAAATAATAGTTCGGATGACCTTCGAGTTCGTCCAATTTACCGAGCATTTTTTCATCTACCTCGTAAATTTCTCCATTGATAAAATTCCCAATTGTCGTTTGATTCACTAGAAATGGAATGTTGTATCGAGTGGCGATTACCATGGGATATTTCTCGCTTGTGTTTCCATTTGCAATCAAACGGGATGCTCCATTGGCATGATCGTTGAGCCAGTAGTGATTTGGCTGATTGATCTTCAATGTCCCATAAACAAAAACCAGGTATAATTCAACAGGCATGATTCAAACAAAGAAATAGTGAGTATTTTTATGACGTTTATGTTTGCGTGTGTAATTGTATGGTTTTTACTTCTGTTTGACGTTTCAATGCAATTTCTTAACACGTTCTCCTAATCACTTTGAAAAAGTAGACAGAAAGATGGGATTATATAGCACTTATTTTATGATAGATTAATTGATAAATATATACTTTTAATCGCTATTATCATGCGAAAAGGTGATAAAGCAAGAATTGCGGCTCATGTACGAATACATACAGAAAACAAGTGAAAATTAATCAAGGAATTGGAAAAATAGAAATAAAATAGTTTTATTGCTCGCATGCATTTATATTGATTGCTTATTGGGTTGTGTGCCCATAAAAAACGGCAACTTTTTAGCACTACATTAAATGTGGAGCTATCTATCTGGGTTTTTTTTATAGCTTTGTTATTTTGCGTGCGGCTTGCTTTTTCTGAACTGTTACGGCGAAGCATGCCGGGAGTACAAGATAAATATTTTTATATATATTCATTGGTTTCATGAAATCATTTCTATGAAATAGGCCTTCTTTTGTCTCCATAAGCCTGAATCCTGAACGAGAGATGCAGTTTATTTTACAAGTTTCATGAAGATGTGTGACTTTATTGAAATTTTTCGAAAATCTTCAGAATTTTTGAATAAACCAGAGATTTGGCATGTATTCCCCAAAGATAGTCTATGTGATTAAACGCTGATTCATTTATGACTTGAACATCGACAACATTTTGAAATTTCGATGCCATGCCAGTTGTATACTCCACATTGATAAGGCTATCGGAAGTCGTTAAATGAAACGATATTGGTGCAGTAATGCGAGAAATAGGAAATTCTGGTGGTACATTTGATCCATGTTTATATTTCCCAAAGTATTCATATAAAATGGTTTGTGTAAAATGTAGATGCTGATTTGCCGAGATGCCACTTGGGAAATGGCACACATGAACGGGTAACATTGTCTGAAATCATGAAATCAATTAGCTTAAATGCGGGATGTATTTCAATTATCTACGTATACTTACATCATTTCTTTGGTTTTCACTTGGTCCCATTATAAAGTCGACCAGTACATTGCATGCGTATGGCACTTTGGTGCAGATTTTACTGATAATTTTATTCATTCGGCTACGTGGAAAAGCTTCCGAATTTTCAAAAAACTGCAATTTTTCGAAAACATTCAGTTAATCGACTATCGATCATTTTCATGATTTTCACTATGGAAAAGTCACCTGTAGTATTTTCCCAACGATAAGAAAAGCCTCTGTGAAATAACCAACACGTCTTAATCCAAATGCTGGTGCCAATAAGCTTGCAACATGAATTTTTTCGTTGTATTCAGGTCTCTCAGTTAAAAGAATAGCCAAACTCGCTCCGCCTTGAGAATGGCCTATGAAATAGGCCTTTGATCGGTTTGTCAACTTCAGTACGTAATCAATCAGTGCTGGATGATCGTATTTTCCTATTTCATACCAAGAAAATTTCCAAAAACCACTAGATGGATCGTCGGCATTTTTGGTAGTGTGATTTCGTGAATATGCATTTCCTCGTGCATTAGCCTTTTTTCACCATTTTAATTATGTGGAGAACAATTTAAATTTAAAATGAACAATTTACTATTGTATGAGTGTAAATATAATAAACTTACCAAAAATACATCATAACCGGCATCAGCAAAGACATACGCTACAGTGGAGAAACGAGTGACCAATGAACGTATTGAATAATTGATCAAATCAAAAATGAAAAAGTGTGCTGTTAAACTATACCCAACGCTTGACCGGGCATATTTGTAGCAAAATCGTCGGATGATAACAGTAATCCATGTTGCACTATTAACGGTTTCCTTGTTTTTGTCGACGATTTTTTGGAATTGCAACGAAAAACGGTTAATATGTAACCGTCGTCAGTAGTTATCTTATGCTCTTCTGCTTCATAGCCATAATATGTTATGAACTCGTCCTGAATGTTCAAAATTCAATTTATTTTTTTCAATTTATTCAAATATTTGTGCCAAATTAATTGCACTTTGATCGTTTAATTTCAGTGGAAAATGTGTCACATACCGTTTTAAAATTACACAAATCGTTACACACTACATTTTCGGATTTATTCAGAACGAATGCTATCACCAGACACACTAGTACGATTGAAAATGATCTTACAGAGAGCATTGTCAATTGAAAAATGCGAATCGACTTAAAATGCACTCGATTTTACACATATATAGTAGTTAGCGTTGCAATGACCAGCTCAAAAACTGGCTTCCATTGAACCTGACCTTCCATATCAATACTTAGCTTTTTAGGTTGATTGTATGTAAATTTTATTTTTTATCTTTTTTCGATTTAGCGATAGAGAAAGAGAGAAAGAGAGAAAGAGTGACAGAGAGAACAAATTAGTTGTGTCTATAATTGATGAATGTGCAATTTATTTACAAAGTTTTACATGCTATTAGAATAAAATTTCAATTATGTTGAGTGTTTTACATGCCTAGATAATTTAAAGATTCGTATCCAATCGCTTTGAATGACGACATGAAGAATATTTTGTGCAAGCATAGTGTATTTTTCTGCCAAAACTATTTTTCATTCAACATTCTTGATTTTGAATGAATTTTTCTTTCATAGAAATTGAAATTATAAAATTTATTCCTATCTTTATTGTTCTCTTGTTCTCTCTTTCGTCTTGTAAAAACATGCATATTGGATGAAAAAATGCTTTTATTTTATTTATAAAAAAATTTCCAAATTTTTATTCGAATTTCTGATCATTTTAGCTTTTATCAAAAAAAAATTTGTTCACCATTGTGATATGGGATAGTTGGCTACGCATTTGAACCAATTAGATAACATTAAGTTCGTGTTTGTCTGCTTATAATAATAGGGGGTTTACGTAATAAGTTTCATTGCTATTGTACGACGAAATACGAGCAAATTTATGTTTTTCATTTGCGCTCTTCTGTTTGTTGATCGATGTCGCCGATCACATTACGCTATGTTATATGAGTGAGCTATTTTACCCTTATTTTATTTCCAAGTTTATTTGTTTGCCAAAAAAATGTATCAATATATACAATCCGATTGGATTGATATTATTTGAAGGTGCAAAAAGAGCGTCTATAGTCAAAAATTCACGTTAGTAAATTTAATTAAAATTATTCAACAATCATCGAATGTCTTTAGCGTTCACAACTCTTTGTTATTCATTCCAAACGCGACATGAGTCAATTTAGAGACATGCGCCAATGAAAAATGATTTCGTGCATACAATTCAACATGCAATGCATTATCGTGCATAAAATTAAAGCACATTCTCCAAGCATACACGCAAAAGAAATGAATTTCAAAATAAATGTCGTTTCTTTTGAAAATTCCAACCCGAAAAAACCGAGGATTCGAAATGTGATTTGAATCGTAAGCCGATTGTCGTACTAGATTCGAAATGACCTGCTTATGATGCGAAAGCTTCGACGGAACAGATCTGAACCGAACAGCTGTCATCGACATTTGTCAGAAAAAACGAACACTGAACAATTGAAAAAAAAAACAACACTATTCGGTCTAAACTGAATGTCAGTTTTCATGAGCTTAGTTTCTATTTTTTTTTTTCGTTTGACTTAAAATTCTCTAGCTCATTATCGAGTTAAAGGGATAGCAGATTTTGTTTCAAAAACCGAAAGAAAAAAAAATCATTGCCGATGCTCCGATTGCGTTAGTAAATAAGTTTTCGGATTTACGTAAACAATCCGCTTCAATTGGATGGTGCATGTATTTATGTGAGAGAAAAAATAAATATCACAAGGTAAAATGATTTGTTATAAAATTAGAACCGACAAACCAAAAAGAGAGAGAGAGAGAAAGAGCATGAGAGTAAAAGGATGAGCTTCACTCATTACAATATTTCACAATCCAAATCTTCTCGACAGAACAGTGTTGCCGGCCCGAAAGATTTAATCGTGACTTGTTTTATCTACTGTTCTGTTCGTGCAGTTAAACAAAATGTGTATGACTGTCAAGTAAACCGTGTTAATTTGTTCATATTTCGTTCACAGAGTGTCTTCAATGGTGCAATATTTTCAACCGTTTTATCCAAATCAATCGAATCGGATTTGGAGCGTCGGTCCTGCCATTTGATTTTCAGACGAATGCTGTTGCAGCAATTTTGTTGAATATTTCAATTTTGATTGGAAAAATTACACGCCGAATAAGTAGCGTTAACGCTGGCCTACATTGATCAAATTGCGTTGAACTTGACGTTTTCGGACGGTGTGTGTTTGTCGGATTTATTGGGTTCGCAAACGTAGTTTATTGGTGTATGAATGAGAAACGAAAGAACGGGAATTTGTGAAGGATGGCTAAAGTGTGGTCGTATTTCTTTGTTATGCTATGGGTATTCTTCATCATTTCCAGCGGAATTTATTTGTTTTCACGTGGATTTTTGCTATCACGACGCGTTCGCACCGAATATAATGAATGTATTAGGCTGAAACCGTGCGATTTCGATGAATCAGAGGTGAGACAGTTTGGATAAATCGGCATGAGTCATAGAAAACATTATGTCTCAACAATCATATGTTGAATCAATCATCGATTTTATGTTTCTAATGAAATGCCATTCAATTTTGCAGGAGCCAAATTGCTTGAATCGTCGCAAAGTTGAAGAGATTTTCACCGACGTCAATTCGTCATCGGATTATTGTTTGCCGAGAAAAACACGAATCATTTTAATCGTTATCGATGCATTGAAGTATGATTTCGGTCTATTTGATAAGAGTAAGTGTGGATGGCATGAATAAGGCCTGTTCGATGACATTGTAAATTTGAATCGACTCTTATCTTATTGTACGGTTTTTTATACGTTTATCCCTGGATATAGATAAAGAGAATGCTTTGCCATATGAAAATAAACTGCCGGTTTTTCATAATATTCTAACAATGTACCCGCACAATGCTCGATTCATGAAGTTAGTTGCTGATGCACCGACAACGACGCTGCAACGATTGAAAGGCATCACGACCGGAAGTTTGCCTACGTTCATTGATGTCGGCTCGAATTTCGCAACGGCCGAAATCAATGAAGACAACATTATCGATCAGGTAGTTGGGAACGAGTTTTTTTGAATACATTTAGACCATTTTCGTTATGAAATAATCTCACTTTCAAATTGTATGTCAACCTTTTTTCTTCTAAATTTGCCTTTTGCCCAGATCAATCGAAATAACCTGTCTTCAGTGTTTCTCGGCGATAGCACGTGGACGGATTTGTATCCGAAACGATTTTTGCGTCAATATTCGCACCCTAGTTTTGATATATTCGATTTGGATACCGTTGACAATGCGATCAATCAGGAACTGCCCAAAGAGCTGCAAAAGGACGACTGGTCGTTGCTCATCGCACATTATTTGGGGGTAGATCATTGTGGTCACAAATTTGGTCCATTGCATACGGAAATGGCGCGAAAATTGGGCGAAATGAACACAATGATTGAGAAAGTCATCGATCAAATGGATGATGAGACAACATTATTTGTGATCGGTGACCATGGCATGACAAATACAGGTGATCACGGCGGTGATACCCAAGACGAAGTCAACTCAATGATTTTCACCTATTCGAAAAAGTACAAGTTTTTAACGGAAAGCGGAAATGATACTATGGATCAGGTAGATAAAATGCACGATTTTCAATTGAAATAATTGGAACAAGGAAAAGGCTCAAATGAATGGTCTATCAACTTATTTATTACGATTTGAATTTTTCCACAATATTTCTAAAATTTCGTATCATTCACAGATTGACCTACCACCGACCATAGCGGCAATTTTGGGCGTACCAATTCCATTTTCGAATTTGGGTGCAACGAATTTTGACATTGTGCCCGATGTGCTGCTACCAAATTTAAATAAGTGGCAAACACAAATCCTGCACACATGGCAGAATACGAAACAAATGCATCTGTATTTCCATAGTTATGCGGGTAGCGACGGCGATGAAATCCCAACGAAACTGCTCGACAGTTATCTGTCACAATTCCACATATTTTCACTTCGTATCGCTGCATTGTACAAAGAAGATGCGATGGATAGTTTTTGTCAGGATGTTCGAAACTATTTGAAAGGCATTGCAAATGATTGCCGAGAGATTTGGGCTCAGTTCGATGCAAATTTAATATCGCAGGGTCTCATTTTAACGGCAGTCACCACATTTTTCCTCTTTCTGCTCACCACAAATTTAAAATTTACTCAATTCGAATTGATTTTCACGCAACTAAATTTGGTGATTATTTATGTAACGAATATTTTGCTGATGATCGGAACGCCCGTCGTGCACTATGTGCTCGAATGGGAATGGAGTATAATTGATGTGCTTCGCTATACGAGTATTTATGGTGTTGCACTGTTGGCATTTTTGCTGGTACAAAACTGGGATTTTATTGCGGCCAATTGGAGTACACAGCAGCATTTTTGCAATTTATTTACTCGCTCCATATTCATTGTCGCTGTCAGCACATTCTTTTCGAATAGTTACATCGTTTACGAGCAAAAAGTGCTCTGCTATTTGCTGTGTGGCGCGTTGACCGTATTCTTGTATAAGGTTCGCAAGGAATACACATGGTTGGCGCGAATGCGCAAACTACGTCCCGAGCTCATATTCCATTCGTCATTTTTCAAACTGGCCATATTCACCGTTGTGACTATACTACTGTTGCGTATATCGTACAACTTGCATCGATGCCGCGAAGAGCAGGGCAATTGCAACGATTTCAAATCGGAAACGGTAGGCAATTTACAGACAGCACGGCACAAACCGCTAAAAAGCAGCACAATAAATTGGGTGGATTTGTTGCCAATTTTAACATTGGCACTGTTTGCCGCATTTTCACGCTTATTCTTGAAAAAGTGTGGAAATCTAAGCGGTTTCTCACCACACGTACTACTCGCCCGATATGGACCGATCGTTGCGGCGGTTGCATGTAGTTTGCATTTCTTCACCGCGCTCACGGTGAAATCGGTGCGCGGCATTAATCAGGTTCGCATCGATGCTTTGGCTTGGATCGTATATATTGTATTCATTTTGCAAATGATAATTGTCGCAACACGACCATTGATGCTATTCATTTTGCAAAAACCGAATCGTACATTCAACGTGTCACCATTCGGTTGTGTTGTTCCGCAAATTGTCATGAAAATGAAGAAAATGTACGACAGCATCGGAACAACCGACGATGAAGAGACCACAAACGATGATATTCCGATTGTATACGGTTTGGCAACGGTTTATTCGTCCATTTTATGCTCAATTTGCGTTGGTTTCACATTCGTACTTGCACTTTTATTAGGTCCAGTAGCTTCCAATGGCATTTTCATTGTAATCGTTGCTGCCGCACTCATTTTAGTATTAAACGCAATCCATCGATATCAACGCTGCACTCGATTAGGTAAGGATTTCGATTTGTATTCTTAGCCACCATCAAATTTATACATATTTTCTCATCGCTTGTCCGCAACTTCCACAGCATTCTGCTTACAACCCGAAGTGATCGCTCTAGTCTCATGGCATTTATTAGCACACTATAGTTTTTATGCGACCGTACATCAACCGACTCTGTCACAAATCGATTGGCATGCAGCATTCGTTGGCCGAACGGCAATGTACGATCACAACAAAGTCATTTCGGCCATTTTAGTTATACTCAACACATTCGGTGGACACTTTTTGATTTGTGCATTGTATCCGCTGTTGGTGATTACACCAAATGCTCTATACACAATTTATCCATCGTTGGCACCAAGACGCACAGCAAAACTGGTGATTAAAAATCAAAATGGCACAAAACAACGTGAAATTGTGAAGAAAATCACCGACGATTTGGATAATGGTGCGGTGAATGTGACCACATTTGCCGGTTTGGACAGTGAAAATGAACATTTGGATATTCCACACGGTGAATTGGCACTGTACGAAAACGAAGATCTATTCTTCGGCCAATTGTACAAAACTGGAACGCAGCTGGTCATACTGCAGTCAATACGAGTAAGTTTCAATTTGCGTTTTCTTTTCGTTTTTTTTTTTTGGTTTTGTTCGAATATTTTCAATAAGCTAATTTTTGATTAAATTTTTTCTCCAATTTGCCCAGATATTCTGTTCGATGATCGCGTGCACGATTCATTGCCGCCATTTAATGGTATGGAAAATATTTGCACCACGTTTCATATTCGAGGGGATTGCAACGTTTGTCATATTTGCAGCGATACTCATCGGATTCTTAGTTATAATTCGAATACACAAAGCCGTTAGTCATTTAATTTCCGTGATGAGTGATGCCAATCAATAGAATTATTATATACCATTTTGATAGAAACAATTGGATTCCTCCGAATTATATTCATGTGTTTCTCTCTCTCTCTCTCTCTCTCTTTCCTTTAATGTTGCGTTGTCTCAATCCGAGCTCATAGATTTATATGTACAATTTTATTGCTGCAAATAACTTACGTGCTTCGATTGTCTAATTTGTAGATTTTATTTTCGTCCATTTATTTAAGTAAGTTTAAATGAAGAAAAACTAAACGAAGAAGAAAGAAATCCATCGTGTTTAACTTATTGTAGTTAATAAGAGCAGTATTATTGTAAAACGAACACTCTGCGAAACAAGGGAAAAAAAACCTGAACAATCAACTGTAGTAAATGTCATTCTCATTTGTTTTTTCTCTCGAAAATCGTTGTTGTTCTTCTTTTGGCATGTCTGTCTTCGAAACAAGCACTAACACGATACTCCTTTTGTTTTATAAAAGGATTGTTATTAATATAATAATGATGATGCAATAAAAAGTTAATCGTTACCAAAAACAAATTACAAGTATCGTAAACAATTGTAAAGAAAAATTTCAAAACGATTTTAGGATGATAAATAAATTCGTACGAAATAAAAACTATACAAACGTTGTGTCAGATTTTTTTTTAAACTTTTAGACATTTTGTTTTTTCATTTTTGTCTCAATTACTTTTGGCAATTTGGAAAATTCAAATAATTGGACTGAAATTTGTATTCGGGTATGTTTTTGGAAGAAAAACATATTTAAAAAACCAATTAAAATCTTTGACTTGACGATCCAAAGTAGTTTTGGGTAAAAAGAACCAATGATTCATTGGCAATGAATAACTCATCCGTTCAACATTTATAAATTTTCATTATTATTTATTTTTCATTTTCAAAATCCATTATTTAACAAAATTCTCTGTGACAACTGCATTTGGTATGATTCCGTTATGAGTTTCTAAAATAATTGCTAGGCATTTGGTAACATTGCAAACGGTGCCACCGATGATGTGTGGCTTATATTGTGTATTTGTTTCATCTCTTTGGCACTGAAATCGCAGCCGTTTACTAATAAAATCTCCGTATTGGCTCAATCGACCGATTTCAATGTACTGTTGCAAACTGGGCGAATACATTTCAATTTGTGTGGCAAAGCATTCGGTCGAATGTAATTGACTAGCAGGTACATGTATAACACGAAAATGGATATCAATAGTTTTAAATATTTGAATAATTAACTCTAAGACAGTATCAAATTTCTCAGCCATTTGTGATTCGGTTCCCGCCAAAAACATCTGAACGGCTGTTGATTGAACAACATCAAATAGGCCCCGATCATTTGTGTTGTTTGGTCGATAAATTTTCCCGGTGGATATAAACTGCATGGGTAGAAGTTCTTTTTCGATTTTCGTCTTTGCTACAAAACCTAAGAAGCTCAACCACGAACCGCTACCAACCAAATGAAGTAAATTCGAACATTTTTCGTTGTAATCGTGCTGAATTTCGTATAAATCTTGTAATGCCGTTCCACCTCCTTCAACGGTGACTGTTTTCGCAAAATCCGGATTGCTAAGCTGACTAAAACCATTCCTTTGAAACTGATCGATTAGAGTGTTTGGAAGGGCACGATCAAAATGAGCCGCCTCCTTTTGCAGATAATAACATGTTTCATTGATATATTCGATCATGTGTTTGTAGTCCAAATGGTGTGAGGTATGATTTTCAGCCGAATTCAATCCATGACTAAATACTATTTGAGGTTCATCTGGTGTGGTTGATAGCAACTTATTTGGCAAATCGAGGAAATTATTGTTGAACACTTCGTCAATCTCATAAAAACGCTCACAAGCACTTTGATATTCACCACGAAGTCCACGGGCTTCCTGAAGTAGATCTTCGATGGAATTTTGACTGTCGGTATTTTCACTTTTTGCTTTGACTATAAGCTTTGATAACTGCGCTCTTCGCTTTTCAATTGCCACCTTCCTAGATTCGGCTTCCTTGTATTGCTCCCACTGATCATACAGTTTCACAATGTTTACTTGATCGCCGAAGCCGCGACGCTTAACATTATCTTCCAGTTCACGGCGATTTTCTAAGCAATTTTTATGGTCAAGTATTGGCCACAACGCTCTGACATTTCCTTTGGCATTGCGATGACTCACGAATAGTGCCTGAACAAAGCGACACGGTACAAAAACTAACGATTGTGCCTTTAAAAACATTTTCGTACTATTCAAACGAATGTAAAATCAACGAAAATCATTTACAAATCTATCGGAACGTCAACATTCTGACATAACCTGTTCAATAACAATAACATTGGTGCGTGCGGTTGAAAACGTTGATATCGTTGTATGTACTAAGTTTGATGGTTCAACAATTTTTGAATGATGGCGCTGTGTGCTCAGTCGCAAATTTAAACTCGGTTGACCATGATTTACTTCAATGAACGCATTCTTGTGAAGATTATTGGTCTTGAGATCGAATTTATGATATTTTTGAATGCTTTTTTTTATTCTTTTTATGACTTTCTTATTTTCTTTCCCATTATTTTTTTTCAAAATCTAGTCGAAAGTGTGTAGTTAAAAATGTGTTTCAATGAAACCATGTCGAATTGCATTTTTGCAATTCCGTTGGCGCTGAAAAATGTATGTAAGTAGCATGTGGTCGCCTTTTCAAGCAACTGCACAATAATGTTCTTTCATTAATTTTCTACGGTCATCAGTCGAATGAACGCTCTTGAACTTGAATCAAATTGAGGTGCTGTACATATATACATCACCTCATTCTAACAATCATTTTAATTGAAGTCCATTTTATTTCTTATTTACTCCTTGTTATATCGAAGAAGTCCCGCGTGCAAAAATATTGACTGCTCGTTGGACATCTATTTCGAAACATTTTGGATTGGTCTATTTACATACACAAGGAGTCATTCAATTGAAAGTTATTTCAAAGTGTACTTTGCCATCATGATTGATAACCATTGATTACAAAATGATAATGATAATAATAATATGATCTACATCACTACCCGAGTAAAAATAATAATAATCTAAAATGGAGTTCAATTAACTGAATTTTATTTTCATTTTCAATTTCAGTGAACTATCATATTTTTCATTAGATGACTGAAAGTCCACTCTGTTTGGAGTGTGACATTTTACAATTTGACTGATAACAAATAAGACTCGTCGATTGATAAAATAAGATTGTTTTGTTTGATGTTACAATTTGATTGGCCATTGTAACTGCATTAAGCTTTCTCTGGAATGTAATTGCATTGAACAGGGCTCGGGCGCGGTTGAATTTGTTTATTTCATTGTGTGTGCTGGTTTCAAATACACGGAAAATACAAACGAAAAAGTGAATCAACATCAGAAAAAGGTGGCTTTTTGTTGAGACGTTTCGAGAGGCGGTGGTTAAAAACAAGTTAAAATGGAATTAAGTAATTCAGGAGTTGAATTAACGGCATTCGCACAGTTGCCAACGGACTTCAAGTTTGAAGCCAAGGAAAATTCTGAACAAAATATCGAAGTTACTGATTCCGACCAGGACATTTTGAAACCGGGATCGAAAATCAAGCCGCAAATCAGCGAAGAAGAAGCA